CTTCCTCTGAAAATTGGAGGCATGGGGTCATTGACAATGCTGGGCAAGCAAGATGGGAAAATAGGAAGCTGGCAGGAGGGATGCAATCCTCCAAGCCCCCCATGGCAATCTTCCCCAACACTTGCTCCTTGAGACAAAGAGCAGCAGGGAAATGGGGAGAATCGAGGGTATTCACGGCCTTGATCTGGGCACCTTTGACTCCCCTGGGAGAGAATCTCAGGGAAACCTGGGCACAGGCACTCATCCCTCTCTGCGGGCACTGCAGAGCTCCCTGCAATTCATTTCCTCCAATCTGTGCCCACAAGGGGCTGCCTGAAGAGATTGCTCCTTACCTGTATTATTTGTGGTTGTATTCCCTGATGGGGCAGTCGTTGGTGCACTTTCATCCCCGCTTCCTAATGAAAAGAAGAAACATGGCAGTACTGCTTAGCATTGTCTGTTGGAAAAGCTTTGGGTAACTCTGCGCGTGCAGGACAAGCTGTGAGCACTTCTTCTGTTAAGAAGTTCTTAACAGAGAAAGTGATTGGGCATTGGAATGGGCTTTCCAGGTAGGTGGTAGAGTCACTGTCCCTGGAGGGATTCAACAAGACACTGGATGTCATGACACTGGGGCCATGGTCTGGCAGATAAGGTAGTTTTAGTTCAAAGGTTGCACTCAATGATCTCAGATGTCTTTTCCAGCCTAGTTGATTCTGTGATTCTGTCCATGACCCTTTGTCTCCCAAAGCCCAGGGCTTGAACACATGCCCCACATGGGCACTGCATTGCCTCCAGCCTAGCTGTGCTCCTTGGCCCCCACTGTCTCAGCTATAGCCACACACGTGTTTCCCCGGGCAGGAAAGCTCCCTCCAGCTTCCCAAGGAAGAACCACACATCTGGGAGCATCTGTCAGAACAGCTCAAGTTGGGCCATCAGGCTCGTGCAGCCTTCACACCCTCTTCTCCCCTTAGCAGCCTTCTCCCCAGGATCCTTCCTCTGAAAGTTGGAGGCACAGGGTCATTGATGATGCTGGGCAATCAAGATGGGAAAATAGGAAGCTATCAGGAAGGATGCAATCCTCGAAGCCCCCCATGCAGGACCAGAGGAGGGACTGGGGAGGCTGACCCTCCTCTATTTGACTCCAGCAGGAGCTTCGACCTACCTGGATGGGGCTTCCCAGCACCACACTGGGACAGGCAGCTTGGTCAGGATGGAGGATGACAGGGAGGGACTGCTCCCTGGTCCCCAAACCTTGTCCCTGGGCTCAGCCCTGTGCTGCTGTGTGGCCCAGCTCCCTCCCTGCCTGTGCTCCAACCAACTTCACGCACTGCTGCCTTCCGAGCCCTGGCAGGGGCTGCCCTGGGCATGTCTTTGCAGGGATCCTCTTGCAGCCAGGTCTGGTGCAGGAGGCAAAGGCACCAAGCAGGAAAGCATCTCATATCTTCCCCAACACTTTCTCCTTACAGCAAAGAGCTGCAATAGGGAGAGGGAAGCGTGGAGGGTATTCACAACCTTAATTTGGGCACCTTTGTCTCCCCTGGGAAAGGATCTCAGGGAAAGTTAGGCAAGGGAACACATCTCTATGGGGACTGCAGAGATCTGTTGGACTTGGTTACTCCAATCTGTACCCAGAAGTTTCTGTCTGACGGCTTTTCTCCTTACCTGGAGTTTTTGAGGTTGTTGGCACAGTTGTTGATTCTTCTCCTGAGGCAGCAGTGGTTTCTGATGAAGGGAAAAGAAGAGAGTTTGCAGCACTGGGGAACTCTGTGCATGCAGGACAGCTTAGACGTGCAAGGGGTCCTGTCTGGGGCTGAACAACTAGAATTCTGGGTAGCCTTACCTTGCCCTTGGGCTTTCCCCTGACCTCATGCATCATTGTGTTACTTTTTCTCTCACAGTCATTTTCTCTGACCTTACCATTGGAATCCTTATTACCAATCGCAGGTTTAAACTCTCCCTGCCTTTCTCCTCTACATGAGTTGTAGGCACACACATTTCTCCCTGCAGTGCAGACTGTCAGAGCAAGGTCTGGGGCATCCCATTCACTAGGAAGTGACCCCTGGGCTGAGCACTACTGGAGCATCATTGAAAACTCTCTGTAGACTCTTTCAGAGCAGTGGAAGGATGACTGCCTTTGCTAGCACCTGTTCTTGTGCAAATTTATGTGGAAACTGAAAGCAGACAATTTCTGTTCAACAAATGCTTGTTCTGCTACATTATCATCAGTGGTATCAAGACCCTTTTTCCTGAATCACAATTCCATGCAGTTATGACAGTATTCATTATTTTTTTTCTTTTCCTTCCTTTTATAATTCTTTCTGAATAAAGAGAAACCTGGGTGATACCGGACAATAGATAAAAAAATTTCCTCACACTTTGGTTTCAGCATTCTGTCATTGTGTTTACTCTTCCAAAGTATTTCAGATATTTATTTTAAAGTTTGTTTGTTTGTTTTAAATTTATTTAAACTGCATAATTCTGAACTCTTGAAATAAATGTGTTGGGGGTTTGGGGTTTTGGGGTGTTTTTTTGGTTGGTTAGTTGGTTTGGTTTGGGGTGTTCTTCTTAGAAGTAAGGAAAACAAATAATAAACCAGCCTTAGTGATAAATGTGTGATACTTACAAATGGCCAGTTTGGATCATATGATCTAACTTTAATATGAATTAGTTAATATATTTTAGGAATAAACTTATTTACTCTGAGTTATGCTGCTGTAATCATAATTTAATCTAAAACAATAATAGCATGCAGCTGGGAGATTAATGTATTTGTGGCTAAAATCTGTGTCACTATCACACTCTTCAAGCTGATATATTAAAAAAATATTGCAAATCTCAGTAGACATTTGAAAAATAGGCCCCACTTTTCTGGAGCTTTGTAGTGCTTTGAAAATCCAAAGTGAGGAAAGTCTTTTAAACCTTTTTCTCCTAGTCAATAAAGCTCATGTAGAAAAGGCATGTGAAAAAGACAAGTAATCCATTTGTCTCCTCTACGTGAAGGGAAAACATGAGCAATTGTACCAGTTCTCTGCCAATGCTTCTGCCTCCACTGGTCACTGAGTTCTATATACAGCATTATGTGTTCCCAGTCAATGTAAAGAAATGTACTTTTTCCTATAACCATGATATAATATGAATCTATGTTGGCCACAAGCCATGGATGTAGGGGCAACAACCCCTTACACAACTAGCCATTTTTTTTACAATGACCATTAGCCTCAAAAGGCTCTGGCTAACAGTTGCCCAGGAGTACCCTTTGGACTCAGGAAGAACAGCATCCGTGGTGACAGCAGAGCACATGAGCTACAATTGAACCTTTCTGAAGAACTTGTCAAAGGTAACCTGAGCAAAGATGGCTAATTTATGGCTCTGTGTGCCTAGACCTAACTTTCTATGTAATGAAACAGGATATGTTAATGGACTTACGCATTTACTGCGGCAATAAAGAAATGGATGTTAGGACCAAGGTTATGGAACAGCAGAGACATCTGGCTGCTGAGCAGGGCAGGGCCGTTGCCAGTACTATTCAAATGGACACATCCTGCAAGGCTTTTAACAATGTTTGCTTAGAAAGAAAAAAGTTTCTAGGCTAACCCATTCTGATGGAAAGTCTGTTAAAGAAAGTGAAATACATTGCTTTCAGTAACTCTTGGGTTAAGATTTTTCACATCTTGCTGTTTCCTACAAGCCTCCAAACAGAAAACCAACCAACAGCCCTGAAGACTTCTATGCTCATGATTTATAGCTGAAAATTGGTCTGTAGCATATTGTAGATGTTTCTGGAAATACATATGTACACTCACAGTAGTCAACAGAGCCCCACAACAATCTGTCACCAATTGCAAGCTTAACAGGTCTTAATTTGGCTCATATCTCTGTAATTTTATCTTTGTATTACCTGGGAATTCCTGTCCTCTCACAGCTTCAAGTTGCCACAAAACTCTTCATATAGTTGCTTTAATTCTACTCCTGCTGATGCCTTCACCCCTTCATATCTGAGTATCAGGGAAAGGCAAGTTTGGGCGGAGGCTCTGACCCACAACAACCAAGTTCGTCACAATGCCGGAAAAAGTAGTAAGTGGCTTAAGGAATGATACCTGCCCTTTAGTTTGAACAGACCACGATACAAGCCTTTTGCAAGCTAGTGGTGATGTTTCCATTAATTTATTTCAACAGGAGGGAACGAAAGCTCTGCAAGCCAATTCAGGTGGCACTGCTTTCCAGACAAGGAGCCTCTAGCCGGAAGGGTACTGGGGTGGAACAGTTGCACCTTTTGTTATGACTGTAACAGAGCTTGAATTACCTGGGTTTAGCGTGGAAGTCCTGCAAACTGCTCTTGGAATAGGCTAAATTAGGTTAATCACAGGCACCAGTGATTTTGAATTGTTCTGTGAACAAGGAAAACTGTTGGCTTGCAGTGACATCTTTCATCATTAATTAATCAAAATCTAGACATGCTGAATTGTGTATCACCACTGACTTCCCAGCAACTGCTGAAAGTACTAAGCAGTCCATTCACTGCCACACAATAGTTGCTCTCATAAATCCCAAAACAGAAGATAGTGTTTCTTACCTTTCAAAAGGCCCAACACCAGGCTGAGCAACACAGCGAGGAATACACGGCGTCTCATTACTGCTTCTGTTGCTGCTGCTACTTGCTGCTAAACCTTAGAGAAACTGCTTTTCTCCTCTGGCGTCAGCTCATTTAAGGTCCCGGTCACAGGTAGAAAGTTCAGCCCTGAGCTGACGTCATGGTGGCAAGTGGCAAATGATAGATTCAAGCTGTGTTGTATTTCCTCTTCAGGCTGGGAGGAGATTTCTGGACTGGCAGCGTTCTTCCTTTAAGTCATAAATATCTGACACAAGGAAGTTACCACTAAATAAGCTGACATGGGAACTGACAGCACACCAGCTATCCCCTGCTAGTTTTCTATACCAACACCTTCAGTGCAAATTAAATGGAGGGTGCCATATAACCTGTTCTTAAAGTAGAAGAGGTGACCCCACCCCAAGGCATGCTTATTATGCACTTGGAAAATAGTACCTGGGATCCACATGCTCACTTCTCTTGCAATAAATTACCAGCACAGACAAGCTCCATGCCTCAAACTGATTATTTCTTTCTTATAAGCAAAATCCTATGCCAAAGCACTTCTTACTGCTTAACAGGGTAAAAAGAAACAGAAAACACCTGCACCTTTGACATCAAAGAAGCAGGACTGACCTTGGCTTTTCTGGTAATGATTATGGCTGTTTTGTTTGCTGCCATCTTATGTGTGTTGTGGGCTCACTAAAGTGGTGGGCCAAGAGAAGGAGGAGCAGGCAGCACAGCCAGCAGATGTTTGTGTTCAAGTGGCAGCATTCCTTTCTTGAGAGGAAGTGTGCTCCTGCCGGGTTGACATTTTTAAGTAGGGATGGTCAGGCTGGAGCAGGAAGCCTATAGCAGATCTAGAAATGACAAATAACCCAGAAAGCCATGAAGCAGGTAACACAGCTGTGATGCAGGGAAAATAGGTTGGAGACTGAGACTTTTTGACATTGCATGCCAGGAAGCCTCTGAAAATTGCCAGATAGAGACCAAGATGGGAAAAAAGGTCTCTGTGGGCAGGATTTGGTTTTCCCAAACTCTCTTATTTTTAGCTGCCTCCCCTGCCTAAGTTCTCCAGCTGAACAGTACCTTTGTTCTGCTTTGTGCTCCAGTAAAATGCATTGCTTGAGACCATTAGAAATCAGATGGGCCACAGTGGTTTCCAGTTCCTCCTTTTCAGGCAAAGGTGTAATTTTTCTCACTTTGGAGGTCTGGGTGATCCTGTATCCTGCCACAACTGCCAGTAAAGTCTTTCTGTGAAGTAAACACAGATTATCCCATCATTATCAGACACAGACAAGAAGGATGAGCAACCCGTTGGTTATCCCCTGCAAAGCCATGTCTAATGGCTATGTAGCTGGTCTCTGGCAAACTCAGCTGCCAGAAACACTGGCAGGTTATAAACACACTCCTGAATTCCAGGTAACAGCTCTGTGTGTTAAACAGCTCTCCCTTCATCTGCTTTTGTTTGATCTTCTGTTTTAAGAACAAGAAATGAAGTCTCAGGTACTAATCTCCTATATTGAAGGGGTGGCTCTCCTTGTATGTAGGAGAGTGGGAGAGACCAGAAGTATTACACAAGTAATTTCTCAGCTTAGGGTTGACCTAAAATTTTACCTTGCACTGAACCAGGAAACACTTTGGCTTCCAGGCAGTAAAAATGGTGATATGCCTCTTGCTGGCACGGGGAGTGAACTGCCTCATCCCTCTTCACTCTGCCATGTGAACCTGCTCAGGGTGTGGAGCCTGAAATGTGGGATGATTTGTCTGCATCCTCCTTTGCCCCTCTGTCCCCGAAGCCCCTCCAGTGTAGCCTGCTCCCCACTCCTACTCCTAATCTCCACAGTGATACCCTGGCAGCACCTACCCTTCCTATGGCAGGCTGGGACAGGACCCCAGACCCCTCAGGAGCTGGTGCTGAGGGGGATGTGCTGGGTTGGAAGCAGCCAATGCTTGCTGTCAGGGAGCTGCGGGGCCCGAGGGCACTGGGGGTACCAGGAGCAGCTGGGGCCCATTGCACTGCCCCCAGCTGGGAAACAGGGCTGTCCTGCCAGGATGGCCAGGGCAGAGCCAGCCCTGAGCCATTATGGGGGCCCCTCAGCCCCCCTCCCACTCTGGCTGCCTCTCCAGGCCATTCTGGATTCACCTCCTGCCCCTGCTGCTACTCCCCCCCATACCAGTCGCCCAGTCAGTTCCTCCAGGCCCCTCCTTAAGACTCCGCTTTGTGCCAAGGAGCTGACAGGAAAAGGGGAGGAAATGGCTGGGAAGTGTTTGTCCCCTGTGTGCTGTGCTTCCCTGCTTGATCAGCGTCCAGCCTCCACCCCAGGCCACCACCTCCCTCCCAAAATCAGGGGCATCCAAAGGGGACATCCAAAAACTAATCCCAAAGTCTCATTAGAATAACACATTTCAGTGCTGTGATCCCCTCAGACATCAGCCATCTGGGGGAGCCGCAGCACATGCTTCAGGTGGAAATGGGTGTGCAGAGGGGAACAAACCTGGCTGTGGAGGGTGTTTGGCAGAGCTGTATGCCACCCATCCTCTGTGGATGTCCATGTCCCAGATCTAGACTCTTCAGTCATTGCAATACATTCAGATTTTCCAGTGTTGCCTCGAGGTGCAGCTAGACTAACCCGGGTCTTGAAATCTTCCCGTTAACTGTGAAGTGAGTGTGTAGGACCAACAGAACTTCTCAGGGAACTATTGAAAATGAAGGTCAGGTCTTCAGCAGGTGTAAATAGTGCAGCTCTGCTGCCTGTACTAGTGTCTAAAGGTTGAGCATGCAGTCTGCACATTAAAACTGTTCTCTACAGTAAATGCACATCAGGAGCTGGCATATTACCTGTATTTTTTGACTTTGTTTCTATTCCTACCTGATTGTTTATATCTATTACGATCACAGTTTTGGCAGAGTGAATCATTTGCAATGCAAAAGGTACCAGTTCCTCCAGGAAATAATGCACTGAACAGACACACATCTTCACATACCAAAATTTTCGTCTCTACTTGCCTTTCCCTGTCCATTTTGTGACACAGCAGTGGTCACAACAGGGCCTCTCCAGGAAGAAGAGGAGTGACAGGCTGTATGTGCCCCATTGCTTGCCGATTTGTGAGGGAATTAGTAACAGAGATTCGGTGGTTCAGGAGAACAGATGCAGAGAATTGCCAAAACAGGAGAACTAATGTCAGTGAAACATCAGCAGGTACAGTTACTAACGAAGTCATTAGGCACACATTTAGACAATAGATAGTCGACTGCTAGTCCAGACAAATTCAACAGCCACAGCAGTTGCGATGTCCTGCAAGGAATTATGGAGAAAATCTTTGAAGAAATAACTAAATAACTTTCCAGAAGCTGTAAAAACAAGTTGGTGTGTCAAAGCTCAGATATAACAGTCAAGAACACTGAAAAATTATTGTGGAATAGAAACTATGCTATATTTAGTAACTAACACAGTAGTTGCTCTTGTCAACGCTTGCTTATGCCAGCAAAAAGAAGTATCAGAGGTAAAAGGCCTTATTATCTATTAGAAAGTTCATAGTCCTGTGCAACCTCATTATATAAGTTGCATGTAATCAAGGGGCAATCATGCTACCAGAAGATATACAATAAAGTAGGAACAAGTAAGTGTCTTTTACAGCTCTTCATGTGTGTCATCTTGATACTTTCTTCCCACCTATTTTTCAATCCTATTCCTTACCAGATTCCTCTACATTTTGCTATCTCATGTAAATTTGGTTCATCCGCTATATATTACATACACAAGCAGAAATATACGTTGTAATTAGCTAAAAGTTAAAAAAAACCCTTCAGAAAATCTAAATCAAAGTGCTATACATATAGATTCATGCATAATCAGGGGAAGCAGATGCACTTTGACTTCTTTTCAGGTGGTTCCCAAGATGGCTGAAGGCACACATATTGGGTGGATTCAGTGGTCTCAGAGGCACTGGTATGCAAATCTGAAGTGGGTAGGACTGTTAAATCATGTGTTTGTCCATAACTCCAAAGATCTTTTACCTAGTCCCATGGCAATGTTGTGACCTATCCTTTCTCACTGTTAATTTCCTTAAAAGTTATCAATGTCACATAGAAAGTAGAATAACTTACAAGAGTCTTGGTAACAAAACTGAGGCACAGCTAACAGTCCTTCTCTTGCAAATGAACAGAACTGCAGAGTTCATCATACTTCTCTCCCCTTTATTTTCCCAGCAGAGTCTTATTAGACAAAGAGCACGCATAAAACACAGTTCTGTACTGTATCACAATAGAAAGTAGACAGAAGTTTCAGGATAAATGTTTTACACTCTGTATTGCTCATTGCTCTGTGAGTAGCACCCACTTCATCTGAGGCAGCTGTCTGGTGTGGGATCTTGGGTCAAGAGTGAGAGATATCTTACCATGGGGTGAGCTACTCTCTGTGGATGCTTGTCTCTTTTCATGGCTACTGGAGGAGCCAGATGGTGTGTTCAAACTGGCCACCTAATTTTTGATAGGACAGATGAATCCCACCTTGGTCCCATCTGATTGCTATCACAGTCATGTTGTACTGGTCTGGAGCAATATAGGAAAAAACTGACCCAGCTAAACATACCTGCCATTGCTCCAAATGCTCTTCCACAGCAGCCTGCTTTTTCCTGCTTTTTCCCAGCAGCCTTCGTGTTCATCTGGATTCAAAGTGCCCTCCTTCTTCCTCTGAGGGACACTCAGCTGTATATCCTTCACAGTCTCCAGCAACAGTTACTGAGACAGGAGTGATCTCACTGTGGTCAGGTCCAGTCCCTTACCCTTGCAAACAGCCCTGCTGCACCTGTGTCTCCTGAGGTTGTCCTCCTTTTCAACATGCACTCATACACATAAACACACAACTTCACCAATTCCAGTAGAATGAAAAATTAAACTGATGAAAAATTAAAATTAGACTGAGTTGCTCAGTGCTACCAAAATAAATGTATCAGAACACAACTTGTGTTTCAGCTGAGCAGAAGTTTGTTTGGCACAATGAACAGAACATACTCATTTCCTCACTGCTTTTCAGTTTAGTTATTCAATCAGGAGGCACCATACAAAGAACAAAAGAACTATACAATTTCTTATTTTTGGGATTTCTATAATTAAAATCATCTAAAAATTGCATATGTTTTTCTTTACAGGCACAGCTAAAGAAAATAAAAAAGCAGAGACATAGTAATATTCATTGTTTTATTGTATCCTTTTATATCACTGACTAGAACGCCAGATTTAATAATATTGGATGCAGGTATAAAAATAATCCAATCCTTAAAAATTATATTTTGCTACTACAGTACTGTATAATTAGTGGCGGCTGAAAATATGATACAACTTTAAATAATACTGGTTTGGAAAACATCCTCAGAACTCCAGCGACTTGGAAGCAAACATTCAGAGATAAAGGGAAGGAAATGGAGCAATGTCAAGAACATAAAGCAGGTTTACATTCAGAAGAACAAACAAATGCTGAAAATTTACCTTTTGAAACAGAGGTGACAAAAGCTGAGCTTTACTACTGCAATTCTGAAAGCTGCTCAAACAAACCATTATGCTTTTACACAAGTTTGATCTTCTGATAGGAGAAGGTCCTGCAGAATTTAACAGGGTTTAAAGCAAATGACTGAGTTAAACAGAATTTCCTTTAAAACTAGTAAGTATTTATTCCGTTGTTTTGTTTTTTATAGTAAACCCATCCTAGGAGATTTTATTGGAGACCTTTTTTGTCAGGTGAATTCTAGGGCACTGCACAAGAGAAGTGATCAGTGATAAGTGTTTACTGTATTCCACAGGACTTTTCCATATAGGATTTTGCAGACCTGGGGGCTGCCTGCTGCAGTCATTAAGCCAAGCAAGCCTCCCATTCCTTCTAGCATTTTACCAGAATAAAGACTTAGCATTTACATACCACTTTTGAGAAACATCAGCCCCTGTCTCTAGGTGTTCCCTCAACAAGGATATTATGCACATGCAATACAGACTAGACGCAGAAGAGGTGTCATCCCACACCTCACAGTACTGATGCCACATTTCTGTAAATCAGGTGTATTCCTTTTTTTTATTTATTTCTTACCCCTTCATGAATATCTCTCCTGCTTTTGAATTTCAGCAATTCAAGGGAATGAACAATTAGATACACATTGAAAAGGTCCCAAACTCTTATGAGCACATAGCACATACCCCTTCTGAAACTAGGAGATCTTGCTTCATTTCTAAAGAGACAAGTAAGAGTGAACTGAAGAGTAGTTGTTACGTGTGACTGCAGGAAACATCTCTACATCCCTAGAAGATCTTACATGATAGGGAACAGGTTGGCTGACCAGTAAAACAAATACACAGAATTCACACTCACTTTCTTCTTGGGAAGGTGTTTCAGATCTTTAACCCGTTTTGTTCAATCTCACATAATACAGGTCTTGCTACAGCAGTAAGTATACTTTAAAAAAAAATAGATACAACATGGAAAGGCAGCAACAGTATTACAAAAATAGGCACCCAGGTGACTCTGGTGGTGGAATAATTCAGGACTAAAAAAAAACTTTAATACAGTCCATGGGAGAGTTACCCCAGTCATTATCATGGATGCTGGATTATATCCTTTGCGTGTAAAGAAGAAAAAACATTAGTCGGCATAGGAAGAGCATTTAACTAAAATGCATCTGTTCTTGTTAATTTAAGGGTGAAAACTGAAGATTAAAGATTACTATGGGGGAATGAAAAGTTCAGCTGGACTTGGAATGGATAGGGCCATTGACCAGCATCAGGGACAAGTCTCAGCACTTGGTGTATCTGCAGCAATGTCCAAACTCACTTTAGGGCTCACTGAGGTCCCAGCAAATAACCTTTACAAGTATTGGCACAAACAATTTCACAATGACCAACACCTCTCTCTAACGGTAATTTATTGCTATTTTAAAAATCCTTTTACTATCACTCAGTTTGGAGGCAGATACTGATTCACGAGAGGTGACTCAGTGACTACTATGACAGTAGGACTTACAAGAAGTGCTGTAATAGCAGTGAGATTCATTGCTGCTGTGAAACCTAATGCTTTAAATGTGGAGGTAAAAGGGCATACATGTGTCCTGTTTTTATCACAGATAGCCCAATTCAGTGCTGTGAGGTTTCAACAGCATGAAAAGAGATCCTGATTTTCCCAGTGCAGGTTGGAGGGCTGGCCAGGGAAAAGCAGCGGTGCATGGGAAGGACACAGGAAGGCTGTGTGTTAGAACTGCCTTTTGAATGATCCCTCAAATATGCATTTTGCTGATCTGTTCACTGCAACTGCCTCTCCTATGCTGACTGCCAGGGGTATTTCTATGGGCGAGGGGCTTTTGTCAGTACAATTGGCAGAGCACTGTAGCAGCAAATGCATGCCTGTCACAACTTTTCCTATCAAGCAACAGAGCTAGCATTTTTTCCAAAATTAATTAAAAATACACCCCCACAACTGCCCATGGGCCCTTGCTGACTGCTCCCCTAGCTTTCCACAGCAGACAAGAGCAATAGCAGATTTATGTGCAGTGCTGGTGTAGTTTTTCTTCCTTTCCCCTCATCTGGCTGAACCACTTGCATCCTCCTTACAAAAAACATGCCAGTTCACTCTTATCCTCTTGGATAGTGGAGAGCAATTCCCCTTGGCAAAACCACCCAGTGTGCTCAAAATTTGCAATTTGGTGTAGCCAGTAATCTAAACAGTCTGAGAAATGAGCTGCATTTATTTAGACATCCTATGGGGAGTTAGGTAGTGAATAGAGAAGGACCCATATTTGAAAGTGGACTTGATGACACATAGACACCCTTCTTATACCCAACAGGAGCAACAAGTCCTACTCCACTGCCAGAGGCTGCTTAGTCTATGGCAGACAGGCAGAGAGGATCCCAATGGCAGCTTTAAACAGGGGCAAGTTGCACTGAAACAGGTCACATCCCTGCTGTGGCTGAGTGAGTCCACGCTGGGGTGTCGCAGTAAACAACTGCAGTAAAATAACCACTATAAACTGTGACAAAACACAGGGCCCTGCACATACTCCTTCTGTCCCAGCAGAGCTGGGAGTGAGTGGCACTTGGCTGAAGACAGAAGCACCACAGCACAGGTTGCAGCTGGGCTGGTAGAGACCCAGAGGCTGAATCACCCCAGGCTGCATCTGTCACCTTCACAAAAACTTCCTGGATCACTTTGTGGGAAAGCACCTGCACTCATCTTGGTGCTGGCTCCTCCTGCCTAAACTCTCTCTTGCCTGCTGAGCAGGACCTCATAGGACACCCAGAGAAGGTGTGGCAGATCAGGAGAGACCCTTTCCCTCCCCTGCGGATGACGCATTGGCTCTGTGATTCCTTTCTTAACAAAGTTAAACAGAAGGTCAGGCTGAAATGGATAACTCCTCATAAGAAATGCCCCAATGTTTACCTTCTTTGGCAGAGAGAAAATTTCAGTGCAATAACATTCTCTACTTTGGGACCAAGTTTTGTAGTCCTCACTCAGAAAATCCTGCTGCATTTACTGAGATCCCTTCTCCTCAGATGAGGCTTTAAGAAGAATTTGAAGATCATTAAGAAATTAAAATTAATTACTTACAAACTTTTGTGTGCTCTCAGTTGGATATAGTCCTATCTCAATTTCACTCAAATCCCTTGCAATTTACAATGTCCTGTGAGATACAGACCAGGAGTTTTGTTCACAGACTCCATGTTACTCTTTGCATAGAAGGACTGATCTGCAACTGTAAATTGGTATTTCCTACTTTGAACTTGACACACACGAGTGCATGACCCAGCCTTTGAACTAATCAAGCAATTAAATATCCTTTCCTCTTAGCATTTGCCTAACTGCTTCCCAATCTGAGGAATTGCTGGCATGTGGTCAAATCATAGGATTCCCATCATTGCTGGGACACACTTCCTTTTTGACAAGCTGCTTTAGTAAACAGGGGCAAAGTCCAGTGCTCATCTATATGCTTTGGATTTAGATTTAGCATGATTCCCAGCTTCCCCTTTTCTTTTTTAACAGAGACAAAACCCTCCTCCATACCATGGGAAAGGCAGTCCTTTCTGTCCTGGGCACTCTCAAAAACAGAGGCAACTCCCCCACACAGAAATTACCCTGCCAACCTTCTCTTTGAAGGATCCCACAGCACAGCAGAGTCAAGTCCTTAGTTCTCATCAGCCAATGGATCCTGTGCAATTAAGAGATCAGCTGCTAAAGAAAGGGACAAGAACATCATTCATGGACTGGAAACACTGATAAATGTGGCAGGGAACAGCTAGTTCCTGTGCTTTACCTGTTACATTATTTTGGATACTGTAATTAAAGCTTTCCTCAAATATAGCTCCCTGGGCAGCAATACTTCCCATAAGCATCCATTCCTTTCCTTCCTACATTTCAGATAAGCTGTGTACTACCAGCTGCAAGGCTGATTATGGATCAGACAGGCTTGAAGTTGCATGCATTGTCACCATAAGTTCATGTAAGTGCAAAGGATACTGCCCTAGGCAGCTCTGCTTTTCTGAAAGCCCACACTGCTGTTTCTACATAGTAGATAAAAGGCATTAAAAGACTGCATTTGTGTGCTATGGTTGGTGCACCAAACTGTGTCTTCTCAAGCACACTTGTGGTGCCTTTCCTGTCTTGCAGTTTTGAGAAAACAAAAGCAACTTGAGCAGGGACCAGAAACCTCTCAGCCAACACAGCTAATAACTGACTGGTGCTATCTCCCCTTCCTCTGAGTACCTGGTACTCACTTTTGATAGGGAACACAACAGCCTTTGAAGTGCTGGGAAAGGATCTGGGAACTCACACCATCTGTAGGATGCACGTACCTGCTCCCTGACAGAAAGCTCCTCATCACCCCAGGTTTGCCTCCAGTGAGTGACCACACAACACATGAGCATCTGAACTGCTGCTCTTACTTGGGGTTAGGCACTTTGGGGGACACATCCTGTGATCCTTAGTGCTTCAGTGAGCTGAGCTATCTTACAGACTTAATTGTAGGCACTGTGTCTCTTAAAGCATGGTGGGGGAGAAGGGAATATCAGCTTATGTACACACTACAGAGATGGTGGGCTAATGGCTAAGGAACTGTGCAATTTGTTATCCTCATACAAGCAGCCACCTTGAATTAAAAGCATAGTCACATTCAAGAGAAGGACTGAATGTATCTGGACCCTGTATCTGGACAGGATTTGGATCACTCAGATTAACAGTGCAGTAAAGATAAGCGGTAAATACACTTCATTATATTTCCTGCATGTGGGTCGGGGCAATCCCAAGCACAGATGCGGAGAATGGACTGAAAGCAGCCCTGAGGAGAAGGGCTTGGGGTGTTGGTTGATGAGAAATTCAGTGTGACCCAGCAATGTGTGCTCACAGCCCAGAAGTTGTGTCCTGGGCTGGAACAAAAGCAGTGTGGGCAGCAGGTCAAGGGAGGTGATTCTCTCCCTCTGCTCTTGTGAGACCCCACCTGGAGTGCTCCTTTCAGCTCTGAGGGGCTGAAACATAAGAACGAGTGAGTCCAGAGGAGGCCATGAAGATGCTCAGAGGGCTGAAGCCCCTCTCCTACAAAGACAGTCTGAGAGAGTCGGGGCTGTTCAGTCTGGATAAGAGAAAGCTCTGGAGAGAGACGGAAAGAGAAAGCTTTCAGAGTAGCCTTCCAGTACCTAAAGGAGGGCTATAGGAAAGTCAGAGGGACTTTTCACAGGAATATGTAGTGATAGGACAAGGGGGAATGATTTTAAATTGAAGAAGGTAGATTTACATTAGACATAAGGAAGAAATTCTCCACTATGGGAGTGGTGAGGTACTGGAACAGGTTGCCCAGAGAAGTTACCCTGTCCCTGCAAGTGTTCAAGGCCTGCCTGGGTGGGGCTTTGAGCAACCTGGTCCCTTACAACCCAAGCTATTCTAGGGTTAGTAAGATCTCTCTAAGTACACAGTTCAGGTCAGAATACACTCCATGAGCTTTCAGTCTGATGTCTGTTCAGACTTTTGCTAATATGACTTAACATACCTGGGTGAGTAAACCTGCCTGGTCTGAGTCACTCGAAACTAGGATGTAAGAAAGAAAAACACTTCAACATAAGTGATCTTAGCTATTCTAGGAGTGCAAGCATCATGTTTTTTCTCTGTTAAATGCAACTGCCTGCAGTGAGTCTTATTTTCCAATGTCCTGAAAGCCTCCACAGCTCCTACAGAAGGCAAGGTGGACTGTGGAGATTATAAAATGCAATGTTTCATCTTCAGTGCCCAGAATTCAGGTTCATCTGCCAGCCAAGGCTGCAGCATTACTGATCTTTCACAGATTCCTCCTAAAGAGCATGCTGAATGCACAGGTCATCTTTTTCTTCCCTGTGAGCAATTATTCAATATTATATTGCTGTTTCTACAGGCATTTAAATCCCTGCAGGGATACAGAACCCCAAAGGATCCTATACGGAAGTGCCGTGATGATGTGCAGTGGCATCACTTCTGAACAACATTGGTTGACAAAACAACAATATACTTGGACTCTTCCCTATATATAGAAGATTTTCAAAGCAGTACATAGGAACAAATGTCTTTTTTCAGTCAAAATTGCAGTGGTATGACTAACCTTCCCACACTCCTTGGAGACAATCAACCCATGAATTCAGCCAATATTGCCAGACACTGGGCTTCAGCAAGGACCCAGCCACCTGGAGAGCTTCTACCGGTAAAAAGGTGAGGGCCAAAAGTTGAGCCAGCTTCCCTGTTGTGCACAAAGCAGATAGCAATGCAGCAATGTAAAAGGGAGTGGACAAACTTGCCCTACCAAACACAGTTGCACAGTGAATCTTTGCATGAAGGCTGGCTAAGAAGGCAAGCACAGTCAACAGTGAACGAGATCTGTAAACAAAACACTCCCTAGTGGTATTCAATGCAGAGTGCTGGGCACAGTTCATCTGCCCATACTGATCCATGCTTGCCGTGTAGCTCAAAGAGTGAAGATGCAGCATAGGACGAATATGGAGTACATGTGTTAGCTTCCATCTGGGTCTTTTAGGGATGTGCACCTTGAGCCATTCCCTCCTCTTCCTCCTCCTTCTCTCTGCTGCTCAGCAAGTGTAACAATACCTCAGGGCAGCAATGCTCGGCATGAAGTTCAAAGTCCTTCCTGTTAAATGGGAAGAGTAAGATCGATGTGGCCTGAATTATCCAGGAGACAGATTGTACCTGGGGAACAAGGGCCACAAAACTGTGTCCATCTTCCACTCCCTCTCCACTCTCTGCTAAAAATAGTCTCTTCTTCTGGTTTCATCACTAATGAAGGATGGATTGTATTGTCCAGGGTAGATGCATGAATGTCGAGATCCAGGCAAACCAGTGTAGGGAGGATAAAGTCCGTTTCTTTCCAGTTCAGGATTTCTCAGTCCAGTTGGCTGTATTAGCAAAAAAAAAAATTAAATAAAAAGGGTCTTATTCTCACACTCAAATCCTCCTTCAGGCACAGCTTTACCACCTTTCTCAGCAGTTATTTCAGTAGCTAGAAGGAACAACATGATTGCTTATGATTTCTATTACCTATAGTCATTTTTAGTGTGGGAGTTACGTATTGCCTGAAGGGATTATTCTGATGAAATCTTGATTTCGACATCTGGCCAACGAGCAGACTTGAAGTTTACCTGACTCCACCAAGTGCAGTTTAAGTACATAGTTAATTTTTAATCCAAAAGAATTCTACCGATGAGCTCAGGAATTGAAACCACTCTCACAAAAAGAATATTGTCCCAGAGCCATCCTTAAAGGAAACAATTCCAGAAAATCAAAGCTAGTGTCCTGCTCTGAGTATTACCTAGGAGCACTTCTCTCCCCATCAATGATAGATACCTCCTCTCCCAACACAGGCCCTCAAATTATATATCAAATACAAAGTGATCTGACTTTCCTTTCTCTTTCTTTCTCTTAATTAAGGCAATCCCCTGGGGACACTTGGCTGAGGAATGCTGATGTCTACGACCAAGATTGTACAGTCCTTTCACCCAGTGAATAACAACAAGCCACTTGGTTTGATCTGTTACAGAGCAGATCCATGCAAAGCCCTCATCACCCACTGCTTGCTAAAAAGTTCCCCTTTCTAGTTGTCAGCATAATAAGGGTATAAAAAATAGTTTAGAAAATTCATTTTCATTTCCAAATATTTCATTCTTAGTGGATTATTTTCTTTCATGCTGCACAACCCAGTAAACTTGCTTACTGCAAAACTTAAAATACAAGCCAGAAAAAAAAGTAATGTTTCTCTTCTCTGCTCTGGAAAGCAGGGAGTCCAGAATGTGTGATGTGGGTGAAATCCTGTGACCTTCACTCTCAGGAGTAACCCACACACACTTTAAGTACATGTAGCTGTAGATAAGTGACAGATGACACACCAGCATCACAGCTCTGGATACAAACATTAGCAGATGGTACCAACCATAACAGCAAGTCCTATGTTTGTTCCTTTCTGTGCCCTACACAGCCTATTGCTCCTTGTTCCCTCAGAGCTGAAGGGATGCTCTTTTTGTACCCTGGAGAGGGAAGGAGTAGAAGAACAGAGGGGTCCTCAGTGACCAGTATCTTCCCATTTTGGGGTGAAGTTCCCTCGACAGGGGTCTCAACCTTCCGCATCATGAGTGAGGGTGGACAGGACAAAAACTACCTACAGTGAATCCTACCAGTCTATCCAAAACCCTTAACTGTCCTTCTCTCTAGGATTGGGCTTTTTGGGCATTCTAACAACATGTTCCTGGAAATTTCTCTATTATTCTTCCTAATGACATCTCTTTGTGATATTCAGCACAGATAATAGTTAGAGCCCATAGGACTCCTGATGCCTTGCTGTCTATGGAAGACATTTGCTTTGCCCTTTTATCTTGCAGGAAAGGGATCTGTACTTTCAAAAATAAAGGAATATCTCTTTCCTGTATCAGGCAGAAAGAGTTAATAGTTAAGCTATGGATAGATACCGAATAATACACATCTGTCATCTGCAACAGGTTCTTGGTGCTTCCATTCTCCTGCATCTCGATGGTCTCTCTGCCCCACTCCTGTGCCCGGGGATTCTTCGGATATTCAGCATAAGGTGACATCTGGAAATCCCCACTCTTGAAAATCAGTTTACTTATGTCATTTTTATTCTTCCTGTTTATAAAAGAATGAGGGAAAGTGAAAACATAAAACTTATCCCGCTATCTTGTATGCACTTCTGACATGATCTCAGGAGAGATCACCACTTCATATTATGAAATTTGACTGGGAACAAAAGTCACCTCAGAAGGACTACAGTCCAATCTTCTGCTCTGAAGCCAAGTCAGATATGAAATCAGACCATGATACTCAGAGCACTATGTAGTAGGATTTGAAATCTCCAAAGACAGAGATGGGATTCTCTCTGAGTGACCTGTTCCATTGCCTTACTGTCCTCTTAGTGAAAGAATTTTCCCCTACATTCAGTTTGAACCTCTCCTGTTCCAGCTTATGCCCCTTGTCTCTTAAAAAAGCATGTGGTCATCTGAGTCAATGAAAAAATCCTCAATTTTCTTGAGGAAGAAGAATGTATGGGAGGCCTCATGCTATTTAAGTCTCCAAGTGATTAACTATAGGCACTTCTAGACACTATGTTAATTCCTAAGAAAGAAGACTTGCAAGGACCCTGTCTGAATGACACCAAATGCCCCTACATGAGTACCATGTTGTGTGAGTGGACTTCGGTGACACTTCCAGTTCAAAGCAGAGTACCCTCCAGGAAGCCACATAAGCTGCCAAAGGCCAGGACTCATTAGAAGGTCAGTCCACCCCTGCAGAGATCTGCACTCTGGGGTCTGGAGTTGTACTGGCCATCTCACCTCCTGGCTGAGGCTTGCTGGTCCCCCTGGCTCAAAACACAGGGTAACAGGGGCACACCACTGTGCCAACCAAACCACTGCCCCATCTATATTACCAATAAATCCAGCTGCCAACTTTATCAGAGAGCTTTGAAATCCTAGATTTGGGGACTGGAATGGCGGGGAGAGGGTGTTACTGCAAGGCATCCCTTTTCAGAATACATAAATCATGAAGCAGAGCTTCCTCAGCAAGCATATCTTGCCTCCAAACTGAAGCTGCCTGCTGGTACTGGAACTATGTATGTGTGCGTGTGTGTGTGTCTGAGAGGGAGAGACACACAGAGTAAGAACACATGCAGGATTTGTCCATGAAGGAAAATGAAAATAGCCATAAATACACACAAACAGCACTTGAAAAATGGCAAGTATAACCTCCCCTGTTGCCTAAACCTCCCTTTCCTCTTAGGTTGCATTTTTGGAGTCTGCTTCCTGGCTTCAGAGCCTTAAAGCTCTGAGTGCAAAGGACTCCTTTGCCTCTCCATCCTTGCAGGACATGATTTCCAGGTGTATCATTAAGGGACAAGCAGTTCAGTTGTTTAGCCTAGCTGCTGGAAAAAAAGAAGATACGCCCCAAATGAAAGCACAATGTGATACCTCAGAATCTCTGATTAACCCACTTGCTTAGCTATCCTATGCTTTCACCTATGTTTTGGTCCTTCAGAGTTCACACATGAAGCAGTAAGTGTGGTGTAATCCACTGAGAGGACACCATGGATGAGCCAGGCCTGGTGGTGGTACCTACCGGCAGCAGGTGACGATCAGTGCTATGCCCATGATAAGCAGAAGTCCCCCTCCTGCAGCCGCAATCACCACGGTGATGAGCTGATACGCTGCAGACAGGAAAGACAGAGACTCACTTAGAAACAGTGGTGTGGTTTTGAAACACTAAAGTCAGCATATCCACAGTCCTCATGCAAAGGGATTAACTGTTTATTTCCTATCTTCCCTCCCTCTGCAATTTCAAGGGAAATAGATGGTGTTGGGGATCTCCTGACAAAGGAAGAACAAGTTTTTGTTTCCCTAGGGTATGGATTCCCTTCACTGATAGATCAGAATAATTCAAATTATATTTCATGGATTCACTTTGGAATATCTTGCTTCAAGACTGCCCACTATCTGTGCCCACTATACTCATGACAGAGTATCCAGGGAAAGGAGATCTCCTTTCCTTAAGACATAGCATTAAGACAGCTTTGTTAAATAAGGTTGACAAAATTTGTTTCAACAGAAAATGAAGAAACAAAAAACACTGACAAAAGCAGTGTGTACCTACAGCATTTTAGACATAGTCATTTGCAATTATTTATTTCAAATCTCCCATTTCTGACACCATGGAAAATAAAGAAAATTTGTTACTCACGGTTTCCACAGTTGAATCCACCTAAGCCAAATGGGCAGCTGAGAACAGAAAACAACAGGGAGTTTCAGCTGCTTAGTTGTGCTGACAGGTCACCAAAGCAAGGACGGTGGGGTAGGAGGAGGGCAGAACAGTCACCATACCTCACACAGGTCTCATTTTCCAGCTTATATCCATCTTCACAGGCTAAAAACAGAGAGAAGGGTCATGAGCACCACGTAGTGGTGCAGGGAGGCATTTCCCATCACTGCTTCCCACGGCAGCCCCACCCCAACCACCCTTGGGGCCCGGCAGCAGCACGGCTGCACAGCAGGAATGCGATGCACTTTGATGGGATGCAGTATGTCCTCTGCAAAATACCGTGCACTTAAATTCACCTCCTGCTGGCTTTGACAGGACCATTTCAGGGCTTCCAGGCAGAGCCAGCTTGGAGTCTGGCACAGGGTGGGCAGCTGGTAATGTAATTCCCAGCAGAACTTCTTCTTGCCCAAGTGAAAACTCACTGCACACTTGCACTGCTTCCCACAAAACAGCAGTGTAAAAAATCTGCAAGTGCCTCCAGCTTCTGTTTTGAAACCTCATTTGAACAGCGCTGCTTTAGCATTGGTGCACGTTATTAATTACTTTTAAATGTTAGTATTGCTACAAAAAGTTGTGCAAATACAGTTATGGTAACCCAAAGTGGTATGATAATGTTTTTTTCTTGCGTCACTTTCTTTTCTGATCTTTCAAATTTGCAGCAAAATAAAATTTTGAGATATCACATTTTACTGTACAATAGAAATTAAATTTCTTAGGTCTAAATAACCCAGAAAACTGCTACATGCAAAATGTTGATGGAAAACTGAAACCATTGCTTCAAAATAAAATAAATTCTGTGTTTATGGACAGCTATCCCATCACCTGAATTATCTGAGGAAATTATACTACCCTTCTGATGAACAGGAAAGGAGATGATACATTGGACACACAAATATAAGATTCAAACTACTGATGAGATCACTGCTTTTCTCAGCAATAATGCTGCCAGAGGTCTTGCAGATCTGCTGCCTGAGCAGAGGCAGTGAAGGTGGTCTCTCAAAGACCTGAGCAGGAGTGACACAGAGTTGCTTTGGGCAGAGGGACAACCCAAGGCCAGCACATGCAGCAGCCCCTGGGGGTCTCCAAGACATCACCCAGAGGTCTGGGAAACCCCTGCATCACACTCCACAGGGAATTGTTAAGTGAAAAAAAAAGTGTTCATGGATTTTTTTCACCCTCAAACACTATGTGCTTAAAACAGGTGAGGCAGCAGCTCTCAAGCCCTACTCCCTCTGCCTTGCTCTCTAACTGTGGGGATAACCCATAGCCAAAAGCTCTGGCACTGTCTAACACCAGCAAGCAGAGAGAAGAGGAGGCTTCCAGCAGAGGTCCCAGCTAAGCTGCAGCAAAGCCCTCACCCCCTCCTGTGCTGCTCCCAGCACGCTGGATGCCTTTTCCTGCTGGAACAGCCAGCGATTGTATTGTCAAAAACCCAAAGTGCGGGAGGGGAGGAAAGAAGACGGACAAATGTTGTCTATTAAAATGGGTTGGTAAAATCATCGTAAACCAAGAAAAAACTAGCATTCTGGCTGGATTCAGAAGTTTATGGCTCTTCCAGTACCAATAACAAATGATACTGATGCCCGCAGTGAGCATGTGACTGTGACCTCCCCGTTGTAATACAGGTCACAGAACTTCCCTGAATTTAATTCCAGTTTCAAATCAAGAAGGTGAATTGGAGCTACATTTCAGAGAAACAGCCAAGACTGATTTTAATATTTTCAGTGACAGACAATCAACCACAACCTTGGGTTCAGATGCTCACAAAGTTAATTTCCCCATCCATTAAAAACATTCACCTTCTTTCTGGTCTGAATTATCCCAGTGTCAAATTCCAGACTTTGGATGTTTACTTACTAGATTGGAAAAGGTTATATGTTCCCATTTCTCCTCCTCACCATCAAATAACTCCTTTACCTTAAATAAAGCCAAGGGCACTGAGATCTTTGAGTCTCCCTAATTATTGCAGCTTTTCTCCGAACGGTTCTCTTTGATCCTCTTGATTTCGTTTCCCAGAAATAGATGTCAGAAGCCCAGGGATAACAAAATTTCCCATCTTCTGCCTGCTCATAACGCCTAAATGCACCCTGGTGTCATATTACCCTTGGAAGCCAGAGCTGGGAATCTCTTTTTTACCTGCCGGACCCCCTTCGCAGCTCTGCCCAAGTCTCGGCTTTCCAGGAGATACAACACACAGTGTGCCTGGCACTCTGCTCTTGGATGCTTGGCCTTGCTTGTGGCCATATTGAAAAACTGTTTGCCTATATACCATTTATGAAGCATCCATGTCACTTAACCATTTTCCCTGCAGGATGTGTGGACAGATGAGTTCATGCACTCACATCATGAACATTGCATCTGCAGACACAGACTTGCAGCCACTGATACCAACAATGATGGGGTGATGATGTCTATGATACCTGGTCTTGCACACTTTTCTTTGCCCCTATATAGCCCCGCTACTCCTTCACTACCTCCCTCATTACATTTATTTTGCCATAGTTGGGGACAGGTAGGGTGAAGTTCATTACACAGCCCCCCTGCTGCATCTCATTGTGACACTTTTTGTACTGGATATATTTTTCTCCCTCTAAGATGGTTTATTTGAAGTGAAGGAAGAGACCAGAGGTAACTGGGCAAGACTTAAGAGCCTCAGTCAAGAAACAGCAGGGCAAGGGCAGTAAATCCCAAAGGATCCTTGTTGGGCTCATTCATAACATTGAGGCATTAGCAAAAGATGACTGGATGGATTACTCCTTTCACTTGCTAACAAAAGCAGACTGGAAACATTACAGAGTGAATGTTCTACCAAAATGAACTACAAGATTGGGCAATAAAAAAATCTGCAGTGGAAGGGAGGGAACTCACTGGAGTTGCTTTCTTTAATGAGCACAGCAGCCCCACATATCCCAGCTCATTGCTGGAGTGTTGGGAAGGCCTGCGGGAGTGGGCAGGCAGATGCTGGAGTCCACCCTAACCTCAGCCCTAGCCCAGTAACGTGTGTGGGGCACATACACCTTGAGCATTCTCAAAGCTGGAGTTGTGCCTTGAGCAGGAGCAGCCTTGGGACCTCACTGGCACACCCTTCTCGGGCCAGGAGGATATAGGAGCAGTAAAGAGGAAAAGCAAGATCCTGAATATTCATTTCTCTCTCTTACTTAAAAACTTGGTGCTTATGTCTTTTCCTTTCCTCACCCTGCCTTTTCCTGCCACTTTGCTTTCTCCTTTGGCATCTTTCCTGCTCCTTTGAACATGTCCCCAGGAGACCTTGTGCTGTCACACTCACTTGGCAAGCTTTCAAACATTAGCAGGGAACAGAGGAAAGGCCTAATTGTAAGGGGCCAACCAAAGCTATCGAGTTGTGCTCTTCAGGATGCCTTTGCCTTCCCAAAAGACTCTCAGAGGTCTCTTTGGAAACCTGATTTGCTGCTCCTTGCTTCATTCCAGAAACACTCTGTATTAGTAAAAATAGCATGTCCTTGAAAAGTTGGCACATTGGGTTTGTTGCTCTGTTACTGAAATAGCCCTGAAGACACTAAAAGGTTGAAAACCACCAATGACCCAGAGACAACTGAACTGCACATCAAGAGGTACCCTGGCCAACATGTTGAAACTGCTGTGACTCAAGGGACTCAACCCTTCCTTGGTCCAGGAGATGCTTTTTCAACCAGAGGACAGATGCTGCAAAGCAGGACAGAATAAAACCTGGGGGTTGGGGCAGCCAATTCCCCAAGCCCCAGCAGCTCTCCCAGCCACACTTGCCTTCCCACGGGGGAGACCGGACAGGGCAGCACAATAGCCACTTCCCTCTTTGCAAATGCTATATTTGGAGCTACTGCACTGCATTTTCATGACCCACAATGAGGGTCGGATGCTCATGAGACCTCAGTTCCTGTTTAGGCACTGGAAGGGCAGAGATTTTCAAAGAGGCTAGCATATTGTATGCTATATTCATCAGCAAAATAGCCCTAAATATCAAATGAGGGCCATAGCTTGACTTCTGAAAAAGCCTTTAAAAACCCCAACCTCCTGGCTTACCCAGATGGGAACAAGTGATACCGAAAATCTGGTATCTTGTCGGAGTGTGGTACCATGCAGTTGGTACTATCCTCATGCACTACAACCTAAATCCCACATCAAACTTATCACTCAGACACTATGAAGCTGCTCAATAAGCTGTTTCCTACTGACAGCAGTGAGCTGAAGCTGGAACTGAGGCCTCACTGTGTGCAGGTAGGGTTTTTATATTTTCCACGGAAAACAAGATCCATAAGTAGGGAGTAACCACATGTACAAGATGTTAAATCTCTTAGCCCTCTGCAACCATCGCATCCAAGTGCCTCGCAGCCTTTTGGGTATTTATCTTCACAACACTGCTTGGCAAGAGATATGAACAAGACAAATAGAGTAACTTTCCCTGTGTCCCCACTGTCTATGATGGAGTAAGAATTAGGTAAAAATCTCCCAAGTTTCAGCTCAGCTCTCCAGTCACTACATATGCCCTTCTCTGACTCTCTAGGGTCAGTGGAGATGGTCAGTATTTCCTAATAGAAATCCTTCATCCAATGTACAAGATGAAGGGAAGGAAGGAAAACACAAAGGGAAAGGTTTTACCTGGAGCCGTAGAGTGGAGGAGAGGTAGGACTATGAGATGTCCATCCCAGAATCTGCAGCACACGAGTTATTTCTACGCACATTTTTCTCACTCTCTGATCAGATTTGGAATTGACAAAACATCTCCTCCTATTTCAACAGCAACCCAGTAGACAGTGCCAGAAGCAATATATAACCACTACTGCAATTCTTATTGATATGTCATCAGAAAACTGCATTTCTTAAGAAGACCTACAACAACCACTGAAACTAGGGAATGGACACCCTAATCCTACAGATGTTATTTTGATCACTGGCATGCAAAGACCTTGTTTAATACGTAGCAAAACCAGATTTGTTGATCTGAGGAGTAGCTAAAAATAATGTAACGTTTAAGCTTAAAGTTTCTACTAGGAACCCAGCTGAAAAATAAATTCATAATCATTTTCGGATACAAATTTTTAAAATATTGATGATGTATTAATATAAGCTTGTGAGTTTAAAGCACTTCCCCTAAGTTCACTGAGAGTTCAGACAAAATCAAAACAGGCAGAGAAACACGTCATCTCTGCTCTGTGCCACTGAACTGGAGCCCAAAGCAGCCAGGCCCCTTTCTCCCTCTCCTCAATCACTGTGACTCACAGCATGCTCCAGAAAGAGATAATATTATTCCTAGAGAGAGACTGTGTCTTCTGTGTCTGCTGAAAAGCCCCCTAACTAAATAAAAGAAACTTGAGCTGCTAATATATATTCATAATATTGAGCTTCTTGCATGCACAGGGCTACGCACACACACTCATTTCCACCAGAACAAAAAGTTTAAGCAAAATTCAGGGAAAATGCACCACACAGAGAGCAATACCTCTGCAGGAGTGGTCCATCTTGTTGTATTTGAAGTATCCACTTTTGCACCGGCAGAGTGCAACTCCGTCGAAGTCAGTGCATTCCGAAGTTTCCTTGTCACATTCAGGGTCTTTCTGTCCGCACAAGCTGCCAACTGTTGGGAAGAGGTGGCCGACATCAGCATGGTCCTTTCTGAACCCACCATTATGCATATTTGCTTTCCCCAGGCATCACATTCAGCTCATGTGCTGCTTTAATCTCTTTTTTTTTTTTTAACAATGTTTGCTCCATTAGGAGAGAGGCAACATCACCCTATGTCACCATTTCTTGTGGATAATAAATGTTTCAGCTCTGAGGCAGAAGGGGAAATGAAAATGAAAAATTTGGTTTGGCTCAAGCTGAAACACATTCACCCCATGAGACAACTCAAAAAATCAGGTTTTAAGTTTATATCAAGCAAAATATTTTGCTCAGCCCAAACCAATTTTTTTCCATTTCAATATTAAGCACTGGATTTTTTCATTTTTCAAACAAAGAATTTGTCCTTTCATTTACATTACTTTGAAGCAGTGTTTTACTTTAGAAAGTCAGATTTGTTACAATGAGCATTCAGCAAAACTGTGGATAAATGATGGAAATTTTGTCACCACATTTACATTTTTTCCTGGGAGGTCAGACTAAATGAATGAATAAATATTCGTGAGAAATATGATTTTATGGAAAATATGTCACTCATTTGGCAGTCACCTTTCATAAACCACTCCCTGCTAGATCCAATTTTTTTTCTATCTGACTTTTTTTTTTTTTTTAAGTACTTACACAAGACTACAATTTGTTTCTTATGCTTATTTCAAGTTAGAAGTAGACTTTACCAGAAGCATTGTATCAGAGGTAATGTGTAGGTATAATCTGAGTGGGTCTACTCAAACAATTTAATGCAATCCATGGTGCAGTGTGGCTTTAAAATACAGCACATTACAATAAAAGCACACTAAACTTCTCATATTCATGTTTACTTTCCCAAAACGATACAAGGAGTTTCCCTCTACAGCCAAGCTAAACACTGTCACCCTTCATCCTCAAAGCCAAACCTCGAAGCCTTGAACCCCAAAGTCACAAAGCTCCATGTGCAGCAGTTTCCTTGCAGGAGACTATCTTTCAAGGGTGCTCACTCCATGCATCCTGAGGTACCTCTCAAAGCTAAATCTCCTCTATCAGTCCTGCAGGAAGCGAGAACCAGAGCTACAACCAGCAACAAGGTCCACCTGAGAAGATCATGCACAACACTGGTGTCCTTCTCCACATCTTTCTGTGCTGCATCCACGTTCCCCTTTAGCAGGTAGAGGATTCAGTACAGAAATCAAAAGGTCTTAATTGTGAACCATCTTTACACCCTGCAACACTGAAATTGGGCAGGCAGGAGAGACGAGCTCCCTGTGCAGTCTCCAGCAGCTCTAATCGACTTCACTGGAGGGGTTTTGTTTCTTGGCTTTCACACCATTTCTCAGCTCCCAGCCATGTGGGTGGAATTAAGACTTATGCTTTTTTGATCTGGCTGGGCCCCGTGTCACATCCCAGAGATGAAAGGCTGCCCTACAATGCCTCTAATCCTGGGCTGTGTGATGTTTTCACAGAGACGCAGATTTCTCACACATGTGGCAAAGATAAGGCTCGGTATCTGGGTCCCTTTTGTACTGTGAGGTTCTTAAGATGACTCCCATTTAAATAAGATAAAATGATTCATAGGGGCTTTTCCAAATGCCAAATCTTTCTCCCTCTGTTATAAAAGAAGCCAAATAAAACACCCCTTTCTCCTCCTGTCATAGTTCTCCAGATGCTGTTTACCTCTGTGGAATGGTTTCAGGTTGGAGATGAATTGGCAGGCTTCGGTGGGGGATTTGCAAGCTCGAATGTAGCTTTTCACACTGCTGATAACATCGTAGAAAGTCACATTGGATGCTAAAGAGAACGTGGATTGCACTGAAACATGCACAATATTTGCCTCCCTAACAGAAAACAAAACAAAACAGCCCTGAGTATCATGGTTAATTCTGATGTCATCATTAGCACCTTATACATAGGACTCTGATTAACATAAGCCATGCTTATCACAGACACAGCATTACATGCATTGTAACAGACCTTAAAAACAGGAAAAAAACTACACACAGAGAAGAAAATTTGGAGCTGGAATGGATGCTGGTAGCTCACTTTGGAACCAGTCATAAATCCCTCCTGGGAAGCTCCCAAGCCTGTCCCAAAACCAGGCAAGATGGTCAGGCATTCCTCATGCCCTGTACCACTGCCAGGACAGATTGTATCAAGCCCAGCACCAACTCAAGATGGAGAATGTGGATCTCAAGCTGAACATCCCAAATGCTCAAGTTTCTCATTCTTCCCCTGGTAGCTTTAGTCTTACCTGCTTGCCTTAACAGTGGAGTGGTGGTACCCCGGCAAGCCTGACAGTGATGCATTGAGCTGCAGGGAAGGGAAGGAGAGAGCAGCTGTTAGTGCCCCAGAAGATTATGGAGGGAGGCAGCCCAGTGGGACATAGCATGGAATGGTCCTCCTGGGTCATTGACACTATCCCCTGTGCTTGCCAGAGGTACCTGCTGAGACCACAGGGGCTCTGTACATCCCAGCAGTTCATTTGCTCTATAAGAAAGATGCACTGCCCTGTTGCCAGTAAGAGATGGACAAAGTCACTATCGTGCAGCCTTGGACAAGAACAAAGACTTGGGGATTTTGACATGAGCGTCTGCCTGAGGCCCCACTGGGCAGTGACCACAAAGGCCAAGGATGAGCCAGATGTCAGCAGGGAGAGAGCACCGTGCAAGGTTGATCTCAAAGCAGCACCTCAGAGACTGAACATCTTCTGAGGAGCCTCCCTGACCTTGGATCTGTGCAGTTGTTTGTATTTACTCCCCAGCACAAGCTGTGTGGGCTGCATCAAGGTGACTCCCCCCAATGCATTTGGCAGCATCTCCAAATCATTTGGCAGCATCTCCAAATCACCTATTCCAAAAAGCTGGAACAAAGTGCAGCCAGTCTAGGAACTGCTAACAGGATGAACTTGTGCATGCAATGAACTGGATAAAAAACGTACAGAGATGTACCTATCTGTAGCCCAGGGGTCTTTTTGGAGCAACTGATGGCTCAGCCTATGGGGCAGCCAACAGCTCATCTGGTGCTTGTGCTCAGCTGACTGAGGGTCACATGGCTACAATCAAATGGCTGAGAAACTCCACCCAGAGGAAGGTATGTTTGGGTGGGTGCTGCTGCTGGGCTTCATCCCACAGCGTATGGCTGAGAGCAAGGTGGCTGCAGTACAACCTGCTCCAGCATCCATGAGATTTACTAATGAATGGTGGGGCCCAGAGTTACTGTTTTAATGTTTGACCTTGGAGGAGCACTGATGCCCTTTTGAGATCTGGAAAAAGCAATGAAGCCAGAAGACAGTAGGAGAGGATGGAGGCTACTGAAGTGTATATCCAGGCACACCACTTCAGGAAAAGGGATCCGGGATTTTCCAGGCAGATATGCTGCCTTAAGCCCCATAAGGAGCCAGGTTTCTCCACTGCTGTCTTGACAGCTGGGGCAGGGCAGAGGAGAGAAGCGTGATGAGTTTAAAAGACTACATTCACCAGTCCTACTTACACCAGACTAGGGTAGTTCAATGACTGAAAAGGCTAAACCCATGCTGCAGACTCATGGCTTCCCACGACAACCATAAGAGGAGCAAAGGGAACTTGTCCCATCAGCATTGCCAAAGCCCCAGCAAGGAGACTCACCATGGCCAGGATCTCCCTCTCAACGTGGAAGAGCTCTGCATACTTCCCATGGGTGATATTAGGTTTCAGGGGGACCTGGCCAATAAATATTCTCACTGAAAAGGAAAACAAGACAAGTTAGTCAGAACACATGTCTCTGTGCCGTATGTAGATGTGGTTTCATCTGCCTTACATGAGAGGCTGTTTGTATGGAAAATCTCTTTACAAGCAAACAGAAAACTCGCATCTGAGAATCATTGCCCCAGTAAAGCAGAGTCACAGCCTTGGGTTTTTTCCCAAGTGTTGTTGCAATGTTCCCACAGTCCCAGTCAAATTCCAGAGCTCAATGCTGCTGAACAGCCAGCATTTCATTGCAGTGTTCATACATTTCATATAGGAACACAGACTAATTTAAAAGGATTCCTGAATACAGAGAGAAATTGGTAAAATTAGTAACAAGACAAGTTACAGGTACCAAAGCTATTTATGATAATTTGGGGTAAACATATCAAATCTCTTACCCCTCCCTGAAATGGAAGGAAAGCAAACCAGCAAGTCAAAATAAAGCACCGTAGAAAGGACATTTTCATTTTTCAAACTGTTGGAGAGAATGAGCAATGACATTTGAAAAGAGGTCCAAAAGATGCATTTTTCTGTGCTTAGATTCATATTTGATTCACAGCAGTAGAATGCAATAATCTGAGTTGTCCAGACTTGGAGAGATAATACCCCTAAATCTTGTATTAAGTGTCATGAGATACTCAGTGGAAATGAGAACTCAGAGCTCCAGCTTTATGTTCCATCAGAAAAACAAATACGGTTGCAGATAACATTATAATTCTTTCCCATTTTTTTTCCATCCACAGAGCCTATCTTCACCACAAATTTTATATCAGACAGCTTTAATATAACAACTCTGGACAAAAAATAAAATGAGAATCACCTTCACTGTAGTTATATAATCTGCCTGTATCCCATTTCAAGGCATAATCAAAACAACTCTCTAAATTAGAAGCTGACACATTCCAACTCGAAGAAATGTTTCAAAACACTCTTCAGGGACACCTCACCCATGTTTCCCTAGCAAAATTTCCATGCCTCTAATCCTTGTTGATTAAGGGTCAGAAGAAAATCTGTCAAAACAAATTCCCCTATACAATGGGACATTGTAAATCCTTGAGAGTCCACTAATAGAAAGGAGGGGGTCAGAACCTGAGTTCCAACTAATAACTGTGCTGCTAAGAAAATGCTAAAGGTATGAAATAAGACCTTGATCTTACAAAGACTTTCACAGCTGCTTAATTTTCCGCACATGGCTGATCCCACTGAAGCCAGGTTACACAATAGCCCTGCTCACTTCTCCCAAGCCAAGTGCTGTCACCAAAGTTTGTAGGGCTGGGAGCTACAATAAGCTGCTGAATGCTTTTTGGGGGGTTGTAAAACACATTGGGAACAGAAGGGACACATCTGTCCTTACTAACAAGCCTGAGCCCACGGCTCCATTGCTGCATTTTCAAGAATCCCTCAGCTATCTCTGCGCCTGCTCCCCGGGCAGCTCAACACAACAGGCATCAGACACCGTACTCAGGTAAACAGTAAAACGTTCTGACAAAAGCGGTGGCTGGAAGGAACATTAAGCTCCTGAACTAGTCTGAGCCCAAGTTAATTTATTTTAGAAGATTACAGATAATTATTTCCATCTTGTCCTCCCCTGGTTTTTCATTTTTGTTTTCTTACCTAAATTGCACTTTCCTTTTTCCATTTCATATCCAAGAGGACACTGACAGATATAGGAGCCATGGGTGTTGTTGCAGGTGGCCAGCGCAGGACAAGGATTGGAAAGACATTTATCCACATCTACAAAAGCAGAAAAAAATCCCAGGTTATAGTTACTGAATCATAAAAATCATCAACTTTTGGGCTAAAAAAGATCAGCTCGGCTCTCCTTCTGTGACATCCTTGAGCATTATCAGATGCTTCATTGCATCATTTGCACTTACTATTTATCCTGTTTCTAATTATTCTGTTGGAGCTGAAAGAATAAATATAAGCCACTTGAATATTCATTCCAAAGCCCTTGAGGTCCAATGTGGATCCATGTTAATATGAACACTCAGATTGTTTACAGCACTGCTCATCGGAAGATCTCAGAGTTCTTTCTGAAGACAAACAACCCACCGGTTATTGATGGAGAAACCAAAGAATGAACCTCGAGAGCCACAGCTAGACATGGGAGCACAGGCTGCTTCACCAAGTCCTGCCCTTTTCATCCAACCCCTCTTTCTGTGATCCAAAGCTAGTGCTTGAACGCTGATACAGTCTGTAGATTACCCAGTTACAGTGGAGGCAGCCCTGGCTGCTATCACCTCTTTTTCCAGGGCTCCTCCATGCCACCAGCAGTGATACCTGTCTGTGCCACCACTCATAATGCCCTTTCTGCTGGGTAAGCAAGGGCTTGGGGAGCAGAGACCACTATGATATATGGCTTATCAGGGGATTAATGACCATAGCCTCAGATCATTCACAGATCAGCCAACTCAAATTGCAAATTCTGGAGAAGATATCCAATACTTCCCTTCAAAAAAAAAAAAAAAAAAAAGATGTCCTGGTCAAAAAGGCTCCTCTTGCTGTGCATGTGACTCACATGAGCACCAACACATCACACACACATGCAAGGGCAGACCATAGGCAGGGCTGTGGACTTGTCAGCAACAAGGTGCTACAAGACAAACAAGACAGCTTACACACCACTCATACCTTTTTTGTGGCTGCTGCTGAGCACTGCAACAGAGGCAAGGACTGGCTCTGTGGTTAAAGCATGAGGCACAAGAGCAAAACCCACGTGTCCATTTCTGACAGCACCGTGGTACACCACAGTATCACACAGGCTCTGCAGACCAGCACTCCAAAGCCAACCTCTGTGGTGGGAAACACCATTCGATGTAATCTCATACCTCAAACTAGCCTGGCACAGATACCTCAGCATCAGCAAGAAGGCCATTTAGTGTCTCTAATCTAAGCAGCCAGAAATGAGCGGATGTGTTTTAAAACAATGGCTTTCACTTGGCCATCCTTCAGTTTGTGATTTGTACATTTTTTTGCAGGGACTAGGGCAGCTCTTCTCTCATGGTAGTGAGTGCCCATGAACAAAGCACCATGTCCAAGGCAGCAGAAGGATCTTTTGTATTCTGACAAATGGCAAATCTCAATATTCAAGGGAAAGAATAATTTGGCAAAAGCGTGAATCCGATGCTAAAAAGGATACACCACCTTAATTTTTCAATTAAAAAAACCCTCATTCCCCTACAGTGACTTTTTTTTTCATGAAGCCATAGCTATAATTAAAACTAATCAGCTTGATAAATAACCTTTAAATACTTAATTATTGGATGGCATATATATTATTGCCAGTATTTTACTCAGATTAATGCCTTTAGTGCACACAATATGCTACAGCAGCATGAAGGCCAGGCTCTGAACTTGAAACACATAGCCAATTTCCATTCATATAAAACTTCAGTAAATGTATTTACTTGAGAAGATAAGGAGCCTGGTAGTGGTAATAAATGATTATAATGACACACTGAGCCAGACTATGGTACATAGTCTACCAGGAGAAGCAATGGGCCCTTGAGTATGAGATTATTTAATGAGATGGGGAGAAAACAACCATAGGTTGTAATAACAGAAGCAGTTCCAACACAAATTCCAAGTGCTGGCCAACTGTATTTTCTCATCAATAAGATAGATATTAATTGATATCAATTGATATTGTTAACCTATCATCAAATATAAAATGCAACCTATGCTTACCTGGAAGGCCAGCCAGCTTTATTTTCTCAAAACTGTCAAATTTCAGCTTAACCTCTCTATCATAAAAGTTCACCAAAGTACTCACCCTTATTCCAGCAGTTCAACTTGATTGCTAAACCCTTAGCTTAAAAATACCAACATGGAGACAGAGTTCTTGCCCTCAAACCCTGCTGACAACAGACATGTCATACATACATACACAACCCTTCGATGATGCTTAAAATTGGGATCCAGGTGTTCCCACCCTCCTCGTCCCTGCCCCACCACTGATGAGTGTGCCATTATACACGTTACCTGTCGCTGGAGATGACGTCTTCAGCCCCACCGTGCTACTGGATGGAGGAACAGTGGTTGGTTTGGTAGCAGCCAAAGTAGTTGCAATTCTCACAGTGGTCTTGATGGTTGGAGGGGCTTCAGAAGGACTTGTAACAGGGATGTTTTCCTCGGTGACTTTACCAGGCTTTGCAGTGGTGGGATCCACAGCTTCTGTGCTTTCACCAGTGGTATACATGTGCTTAGTAGCACTGGGTGTTTGAGCTCTGTGGTCCTTTGTGGTGGTAGCTTCACCTGGGGTTGACCGGTGACTGGCCAGTGTTGTCAGCACAGGAGGTTTGACCGTGGTCAGTGCCACTGCAGGGACAATGTTGCTGTGGTTTGTTGCACTTGGTGAGGGACTAAGGGGTACATCTGTTGGACCAGCCCGTGGAGCAAGACTGGCCGTGGTGAGCAGTGGTGTTGCCTTCTCAGAGCTGCCCTCCTGGGTGGTGGCAGCTCGTGGCAAGGCAGTCTCTGTTACTATGACAGGAGTGGACACAGTGTGTCCACCAACCAGCTCCATAGGTGCCGTAGGGAGAGGAGACACGGTGGAGTTGAAGGTGGTACTGTTTTGGGGCTGGTGTGTGACACTGTGCTTGTTGGTCTCTCTGGGTGAGCTCCCAGCCATGGCAGCTGTGGAGGGCACCTGCCTGACCACCGTTGTAGCTACAGTGATGCTTGCTTGATCATTGTCATTGGACTGCGAGATGGGTGAGGATGATGAAAACAGAGGCAATAAAGATGCTAATGAATAAGATGGGGAGAGCAATGAGGAAGTGGGCAAGGAGGATGACAAAGCCTGCAGAGGGGGTGAAGATGCCATCACAGAGGACAAGTGTGGCTCACGTGATTCTGACGGTGTGAACAGATGACTTGGTGGTGGTGTTGGTGACAGCGAGTGATGCAGTGATGACTGTGAGGAAGACACTGGAAATGCTGATGAAGATAGAGATGATCTGTTAGTGACCAACAAATCAGAGTCAGTGTTGAAGACAGTTGTATTTTCTACGCTGCCTGTAGAAGCAGAAGTTGACAGTTTGGAAGAGTATACCAGTAGTGGCTCTGTAGATGGTTCAACAAAACTGCTATCACTCGATGCATTGGTCCACCTGTCCTGAGACACAGAAGATTTTGATGCATCAGAAGGGCTGGAAATTTCAGAAAAAAAGGTGGAACTTTCTGACGAGTCAGCAGAGGTGCTGTTGTTGGAGATAGACAGGAGTGTCCTTTCTCCTCCTCTGGTATATGTGGTTGAAATGTATGTGCCATCCGTATGAGAAACAGAGGTCCTTTTCTCAGTGGCATCAATGCTACTGACTGGCTGATGGCTACCTGAAAAGTCTGGAGTAACAGGACAAAATATATTCATAAGACAGAGTAATATGAAAGTATTTTGATGTTGTATTAAAACCACTTGTTAAATACAGAAGATGTTCTCGTCTGTGAACTAGTCCATGCTCTTCTAAAAATTTAGAGCGCCATCCAAGCATGGGTATGGAATTAGGGGTCTTGTGCACTCTTTAATTGGTTCTAAAATGGGGAACCCTGACAGACACAAGGCTCCAGTGAAACGTGTAGGTTTCCAAAACTCTGTTCTTCACGTATTGCTTTTCTAAAGTGATTGAGCACTTAACATTCCATGATATTTGTTGCAAGCTAAGCAGGAAAACCCATCTGTTCTCTTTATCACTCATAATTTAAAAAACTCATAACCTCTTCCTTTTATCCTCCATTCCCATCTACAGAATATCCATCTTCTTCAATTTGTTTTTAGATGCAGTGAACTTATGCCTCTGCAAGATGAAATTATTACATTATGCTAATTTCCAGCTTATCATAAACTCATTGATTCAAAACTTTGCAGTTAGGAAGTCCTAAATAAACAGCACATTTGCCTGCAAAAAATTCAGATTATTTAGCATAAAAGGTGCAGTCAATCCCATAATACAAATGTACAGCCATCTCTAAAAAAAAATAAGGTATTAAAAATTTGGTTTAATTTCACAATTGACTTAGGTCATCATGAAACACTTCTGAAAGCATCATCCAAAAGAGACTGGTTAGGATGCAAAAAAAGTAATGCAACCATCAAAAAAGGAGGGTTCATGATTTCACTTCTGGAACAGTTTCCCATCTATGTGGGTTCTGGTTTTGAGTCCTTTGATGAAAATAACCCCCTGAGTGAACTCACAGGTGGCATTGCATGTAGTAATGAATAAGAACTTTATGTACAACATAGATAAAAACAGGAAAACATGAATTCCCCACAAATGTACAGCAGGAGACATCAACTTACTTGTGAGATCATTTTGGAAAGAAGAGTAAGTGGGTATCTTGGAAGAATGTACAAAGACAGTCTCTGTTGCAAGGTCTGTGAAGCCCCTACTGTTGGTAGAGGTGTTGGCTGTCCCACCACGTTCCACTGATGTTGGCTTAGCTGGCCCTGGAGAGCTGGCAGCTTTGGCATAGGAAGAAGATCCCTCCATGCCACTAGCCAAAGTGCCATGCATTGTTGAGTGCAGTATCCTCTCTTCACCACCAGCAGATGTGGATGAACTGTACACAAGATCAGTGACAGGGTTGGACACCCTTTCCTCAGCACTTGAGCTGCTTAGGGAGTGATGGCTGCTGCTAACGGCTGGAATAGGATCAAAAAGCAGGCATCTTGTGAGCTCTACAATAATTCTGTTTGGAAATGCAGATTAATAAAATTGCACAGATAAACACAGATTAAAAACATATGAAGTAGATCTCACATATCTATCTATCTTAAATGTGGATTTGACACAAAAAGCCTATTCCAAAAAACAGGACTGTCTAAATCCAGAGGGACAACTAGTACCATTAGTCATAATAGTATATTTATGTTATTTATAATTATCACCTCAACCCAGACAAGCAGTTGAGGTGTCCCACAGTGACAAGCTATGTCTCATTCTTGAGGCCTTTCCTGCTGAGCATCAACAGCTGCAGATATACAACACCAATGGGCAGAACCACCACCATTTATAAATCCCACCCATGACACCTGCAACAGCTGTGACACATGCTAGTGGTCATATCAACACCATGGAGGAGGGGAAGGGAGCAGCAGTCAAAAACTATCCCAGAGCTCAGAAAAACTCACTGGAAGGTTCACCAGCAGTTGAGAAGTAGGTGAAGACCCTGGATGAAACAGTGACCTTGGGCTCTGGGTACCCTGCTTGGCCAGATGGCATGTGTCTCATCCCAGGCCAAGCTGTGGAGGATGGGAGGGGGCCAATGCGGGTCCCCCCAGCTGTGTCCAGGTGAGGTGTGAGGCTTTCTGCCTCTGTGCTCCACATGCTGTGGCTAGCTGCAGCTTGAGATGTCCCCTCCCTGTGGCTGGAGAGTGTGGTCGAGATGTACGTGGTCTCAGTAGGAACACCAGAAACTCTTCTGCCTCTCCCTGAAATTGCAAAGTACAGATATACATACATATATATATACACACATTGTGTATTAATAATACCTTTGAGGCCTCTACCAGTAGTCAAATCTGAATATTTCAACCCCCACAGCAGAGGTGACACTTGGTGACAAACATCACTTATTTGCTAAGTGGGATTCCCAGATTGTCTGTGCTTTTCCCCTTTACACCAGAAAAATAAAACAGATTGGGGTGCATGGTTTTTCTGAAGGAGAATCATGGCAGGGAGGTAGAACATGGTCTTGAATGTCCTGCAGAAAATTCCTTGGGTGGACCAGTGAGTTTCAAACCATTCTCTTGTGGGACCCTGGCAGCAGAGCTGAGGCTGAAACATACAATAACTGGGATATAAGGAAAGGCAAAAGGTCTACCAGTCCCCCACCACATCTCATGTCAGACTCCCCCGGTTTGAGGCTGAGGCCAAGGCTCCACGGCAGCCTTCACAAGTGGTCCAGAAGAGCTGCCTGGTTGTCCAGCTCCTGACACAAGGAGCTCTGCCTCAAGTGCCATGAGGTGAGTTACTCACCAACTGTGCAGTGCTCAGATGCCCTTCACTATAAACCAGGCTTATTAAAACTGCAAATATAGTTTAAAGCTAGAAAAGGAAGGGTGGGGGCTTGGGAGGCAGGTGAGGAGGAGGGATGTCCTCCACAGCAAAATGGGAAATCACAAGACCCACCTGAAGCACTTGGTGAAGGAGAAGGCACTGAGATGCTGGGAGAAAATGCAGGCAGCAGCTTTGTTGGAAGCTCACTGAGTCCAGCATCCCCCTGTGAAACGTCACTCTGCTTCCCAGGCTCTTCTACTGATGAGGACAGCAGAAGGACCACGTCCAAGGTGCTGGTGCGGGGTGGAGTGGGAGCAGAACTCCCTGCTGCACTGGATGCTCCATGGGTGTCCAACACGGGTACAGTGCTCCTCTCCTCACCAGTGGTGATTATCCCTGCACTGGGTGTACTGATGAGAGGCAGGTGTCCTCCCATTGCTGAGGTCCCTTCTGCTGAGAAAGGGCAAAGCAAAATGAATTTATGCGCTCTAAGCTATGAACAGGCAGGCGTGCTCTCTTCCACCACTGCCCTCAGGCTGACGGCACAGATAGAACGTGTCAGAAGATCCAAACCTGGAGAAAACACTTTCTGTGCAAGGAGGTGCTGCTCACAGGAAGACACCCTGAAGAGGGTACTAGAAACAAGTCATGGGAGCACTTTTGGGTGCAGTTCTGCTCCCGGTTCAGTACTGCTCCCGGTGCCGCAGTCCCACCATGGGCACCACGTGCCCACACTGCCACCTCAGCACCAGCAATGAGCAAGGTGAGATTATGCAGCACCCGAATTCCTGATACTCAGAACAAAGCATGGCAGGCTTGTATGGGATCAGTATATACTGCCTTTGCACCCCCAGGTGGGAGTCAGGAACGACTGGTGCTGCTTCTGCTTGTATAAACAAAGCCAATGGGGCAGACTTGAAATTGTGCTGTCTCTGAAAACACAGCAAATCTCAAGGCCAGACTGCTCTGGCAGTAAGGCTGGGTTTTTCTGGTGATTAAATATAAGAATCTTCCATTTTTCCCTGGAAGTTGAAATTTTCATCCATAATGTCCAACACCATTGTCCTGCACATTCTAGCATATCCTCACTTCTCCACAGAAATCTAATGTCTACAGGCAGAAGCCCCACAGAGGTGGCCAGAGCTCACCTGGGGAAGCACTTTCCGAAGCAGATGGTGAGCCTGTGAGCAATGGATTCGTGGACGTCACGGTGGCACCTCTGTCTCCACCACCCGAGGTTCCCAAAGAAGACTGGGAATGGCCTGCAGAGCTGATGTTTTCGGTACCAGTGGTGGACATCTCTGTCGTTTGTGCCAGCCTTGTGCTGGCTGGCAGAGACCTTAACGTCCTCCCTCCACTCTTGGTGCCTGTTATGGAAATGGAGGTGCCAGTGGTGGGGAAATTGGTTCTCTCTGTTGACAGGATGCTGAATGACACACGGCTGCTTCCAGGAACTAAAATGTGATAAAGAAACAATTTACATTTTTACACATATGAAACTATAAATAAAAATGAACTTAACTTTCCCAGAGGCAGCAAGTACAAACACAACTAGAAAATATGAGAAGATGTCAATCCAGAGAAAACAGGAAATTTCCAAATACATAAATCCTTCCTAGAAAAATTTGTCTTCTAAAAAACATACTTTTATGCTGAGAAAAGTGCTATTATATAAAAACTGTTGACATACTAATGCTGTGCACTTGATTTTACCATTATGTGCCTGAGTGCACTCCACGCTGCTAGAACAAATATCGTGACAATCCAGAAAAGCCTGGCAATCAGTTCAGACAAGAGTTCTCAGTTCAGACTGAGAAGTCTGAAGAAATAGGATCAGGGTGATCAGACCCTTCAGCACCACAGTATGAAGGACCAAAAGCAGCATGAAGGACCTCAGAGACCACATTCAAAGCTGCCCTAAATTTGTTGAGCTGGTTCAGTTCCTGGGAAGTAGCATGGTCCAAGAGGCAGGACAGAAGGTAGGAACTGAAATCTGATCCCCAAGACTGCAGGGACATGATCTAATCCTCACTTGCTTAGTTCTCTTGCCTATAACACAGAGATAGCAACTGGAGATATTAAAAAAGGATTGCTATTTGAACGTTAATTATTTTTCTTGGCGTGATGGAACTTTCCACACATGTGCCCCTTCTGCAAAAAAATTTAAACCACGTATTTTTAGTCAAGCAAGAGCTGAAATATTTCAGACGCAAAATCACACTGCATCCTTCCAAACAGTATATTATGCACAGCAGAAAAGAGTCGGGCAAGTGCAAGCTGCAAAAACAATCCTCCTTTGGCTTATAAGAAAAATGGTATTTCCCTTCTAACGTGAGCTCACCTGGGGAAGGGTCTTCCGAAGGAGAGTGAGAGTGTGTTAGGGAAGAGTCTGCCACCCGCTCGGTGAAATCCGTCATTTGTATGGACCCGTGAACTCTGTAGGTCTCTCTCACAGGAGATGTGGACAAGGATCGGATTGTGCCCAAGGCCCTGTATGTGCCACTGCTGGATGTGGAGACTTCTGCTGCCCACCGGCTGCTGCCTGTGGCAGACCTCGGGGTCCTCCCACCCCTGCTGCTGCCCGTGGCTGAAATGGAATCGCTGGTGGGTGAGGAAGGGAGTGGGTTTTTCTCTGCCACTGAGCTGTTAACTGGTCGTTGGCTGCTTCTGACACCTAAGATACAATAAACCAGGGTTTGATTTATGCATACAGAGCTATACATTTGAGTGACTGTTTGCATGGTGTGCATTTCTAAACTGTCCATTGAGTTGCTCTGAGAAGAGGTGAATCTCTCAAGTTCAAGCACATGTGCCCTACTAAAAGCCATGAAAATCAAAAACCCATGTCCTACAGACCAAGCCTGCATGACAGACATAGCATGAGACAACAGCTGCAAATCCCCAGCAAGTATCTCTGGCATGGTAAAAGTGTGTGCATCTATTTCTAACTGATGCTTTTCCCAGCACAGGAGTTTCATTAGCAATGAGAACATTGATGTTTTTCACTTTCTCACCCAAAAGCTGAGATCCACTCTCCCCCTTCCCACCTACCCCGCTGCCAGCCCTGTGCAGACAGTAATAAAAACATCCATGTATCCAATAGTGACTGATGGCCGTATCCAAAGAAAAACGGTGCAGGGATGTGAAGTCTCATCCAGCCCCAAGGCAGACAGCTTTCAGACTGACAGATTTACCTCTGGACGTACTTTCGGAGGCAGAGACAGAGCCTGTGAGCAAAGGATCCCCGGGAGGGGCTGGGAGATCAGTAGCTTCCCGTGAGCTGTTGGGACGATGTGTCCCAGTCCCTAAGGAGGAGGAGGTCACCCCCAAAGAGCTTGTGGGGCCGGTGCTGGTGGCAGAGCCTCTTGTCAGCCCAGCTGTGTGGCCATTTGCAGTCCCCACTGCCACACTGGGCACATCAGCACCATGTGTGCCTGAGTGCAGCGTCACCTCTTCTGCAGCTGAGACACTCTTGGGTTTGTAACTGCTGCTAAAGGCTGAAAAAGGAGAAAAGAAATACAAAACTGCATACACACAAATGAAAACTCCTGGGTAGTTTTCATCCCTATCTACTTCATCTACTACCCCTCACCTCCTTTCATCTACTATCAGTAGATGTAGACAACATATGTGTGAATATTCAATACGGAAATATTTAATACTGGGAAATCATTAAGATGGGGGAAAAACGGTCTCTAAATAGGAACTGCTGAAGTTGTTGCTAGCAAAATTTCACTGAGAGTTTTCAAGGAAAATCTATCCTCCCCTTCCAACAGGAATAATATTTATCCATACTTTCATTTCTGTGAAATGTTTTTAAATGTACAGAATGTGCCAAACACAATATTATTCCTCCTTTCTTTAAAATAAAAAGGATGTATTTTGTTAATAATAAATCTTTAAATAACGTTCTGAGATATACAGCTATATCAGAACTCACTTGTGGAAGTGCTTCGTGAAGCAGGTGGCAAGCCTGTGAGCAAGGGGTCTGTGACACCTCTGCCATCACCATCCTGGGCACCCATAGACATCCCAGGGGTCTGGGCTGAAGAGCTGATGATTTCAGTGCCAGAGGTGGAAATCTCTGCTACACTGACCAGCCCAGTGCTGACTGGCAGAGACCTTAACGTCCTCCCTCCACCCTTGGTGGCTGTTGTGGAAATGGAGGTACTGGTGGCGGGGAAATCTGAAGCTCTCCTCTCCGTGGCTGAGTTGCTGGATGGCTGGTAGCTGCTTCCAATGGCTACAGTACAATAAAAAAACTGGATTTATACATATAAAATTATAAACAGATGGATCCATTTTCTTCCCAGATGCTTACAGCACACATACAGATATTAAGCATGGGAAGTTTTCAATCTGGACAAAGTGCTCTTTTGGAAAGGCATGAATCCCTCACCGCAGGAAGACCTTGCACAAAACTCAGGGCTTGCTGCCAGACTTCATGAGAGCAGGGTGGCTCAGACAGCAGGAAACCCCATGGGAAAAGGACTGCAGAGACTTGCCTTTAAATCCCACCTCTGTTCTAAGACTGGTGGAAGTCAGCCCAGGCTCTCTTAGTGGTTTTTTTGTGGCTTTAGAACTGCATCAAACAGCAAAGGGAGGAAACTTGAGTGCAGCCACATCGCCATATGAGCCTGCAGTTCACTACATATCCCAGGGCTTAATGGGACACAGGGAAAAATATTTAAGGAAGCACAAAAGAGGGTAAAAGAACAAACTGTAGACTAACTGAGCTCACCTGTGGCAGTGCTTTCCAAAGCTGGGCGAGAAGGGGCAAGCTGGTGCTCCGTGGAAGGCCCAGGGAACCGTCCCTGTGCCAGGGCCACTGAGGAGGGCACAGAGGCCAGGGGCTGAGCTGTGAAGCCAGGTGCTGTCCTTTGGATACCGGATCTCTTCTTTCCTGCAGCCCTGGTGCTGCTCCCAACAGCTGTGGCAGAGGGAAGGGACATGTCACTGTGAGAACCCCAGAGACGTCCTTGCTCCTGGCAAGCCCTGGGCACAGGATAAGGACTCAGCAACACAGGTCTTCAGTAAATTCACATGGAGTGGGGCAAAGTCTGTTTTTGAGAGCTCCAGAAGTTGGCTGCTGCAGAGCAAGCGAGGGGAAGCCAATTTGTTAAGCACAGGCATCTCACCCTGTCTAGCTGAGGGCAAACCCACTCGGCGTGGCCATAAGTGTGGGTTCCCAACCTCCTGTCCCACTCCAGCACCACTCGGGTGGGAGATACAGCTCAGGTGGGGCTGGGAGCTGCCCTGGCTCTGCAGTTGGCACTGGACCAGTGGAGATATTTCACAGCTGCAAACACCCACCCTGCAGAAAACACTGTGATAAGGTCCAAAGAACCTTTTTTTAAGTGGAAAATGCTGGGGGTTTGGATCAAATTATTTTTTCCACTGCTTTTTCCTGCTTTCAGCAGGGAATTTCAGCTAACCATCCAAATAATAAAAAACAGAGCACATGTAAAACAGAGCATCTTCTCTGTTTCAAGAAAGCAAAAGCTATAAAAAGGCTTTATAAATCTATAAAACAAAGCTGTGGGCCAGCAGAGCTCACCTCTGAAAGCGCTGTCAGTGGCAGGCGATGCTGTGAGCAAAGGGCTTGTGGAGTTCCCTGTGACACCCCTGAGGTGTAGCATGACCTGGTCTGCACCAGTCTGGGTACTTGAAGCTCGGAGGGAGGACTGGGACTGTCTCAGGGAGCCACGGAGGGCAGTGCCAGGGCTGGTTCCCCCACTGCTCCCAGAGGGGCTGGGTGAAGTGGCTGCAGTGTCCACAGGGGAGCTGCTGGACAGTTCTGTGCCCACCCAGCTGCTCGCCAGTCGAGAGGGGCTGTCAGTGCCTGCAAGGGAACAGGGGAAAGCAAATGAGAGCCCAGAGATGGGCTTAGCTGCCCACCCAGCATCCCCTGCTGTTACCCTCCACCTGTCTCACAGACCACAGGCCCTTGTCTGCACTATGCTCACAGCAACTTTGTGTTTCAGAGCTGCACCAAGTAATTTATATTTTTCCATGCCAGGAGAAGTCACCTGGGTACTTCTCTCTGCCCTCATGCATGAAGCAAGTCAGAAAACTGCCCTGAGCAAATAGTGGAGAGCTGGATCCACAAAGCTCTATGATGCTTAACCAATGCCTAGTTGCTCAATGGCACCTTTTTCCCAGGTGTTGGAACACTTGTTCAGTGTTCCCAGGCTGAACTGGGATGGCTCACCCGGGTGATGAGATTCTGAAGATGAAAGTACCAGCACTGTTCTCATCATGTTGTTAAACCCCAGCATGTTCCAGACCCCACGGTGCCCACCCTGTGTCCCCTCAGCCGAATCAGTGCTGATGGTTTCCAAGCCTGGTGGTGTCCTTTCAGCAGTTGCAGGGCTGTTGGGAAAAGCCAGAGCCCTCTTGCCTCTCTCCTGGCTGCCTACAGCATGGTGATGGCTTCCAGCATCTGGAAAGCAACACAGAGAGGATCATGTTCCCCTTGAAAAGTTATTTTGTCTTGGCTGGGTGGCAGCAGCATCACCTGCAGTGGTACCCAGCCCTACCCTGCAATAGGTAGGGTCACAGTTGCATCCCTCTGTTTAACAGAGCACAGTTTAACTGCAAGAGGAATTGGCAGGGACAGAGGGTTTCTGCCACCAAAAATTAATGGCATTTCAAACTTTGTCTTCATTTGTGAATGGCAAAAGAAACACTTTTTTTTTTTTTTAAAGACATTAAAAATGCAGAAAGCAGTAAGGAGCTGATGCCAGGACAGCCAGCAGCTGGCAGCCTGGGCATGCCAGCTCCACATTTTAGTCCCTAAGCAGAAAAAAAAAAAATAAGAAGGAATTAAAAAAATTAAAGAAAACCTCTATGCTCACATCTCAGACACGTATTTCAGACGGAGACATTAAGAAAAAAAAACTGAGGTGAGGATAGGATGATCAGCACAGACTTATTCTGCTGCTGTGGGAAACAGGCTTTGATGTAGGAGCAAGATTATGAACAAGTCCAAAGGAAGTGTTCACTTGCAGGATTTCCATGTGAAGACCTCAGCTACAAATCATGACAGAGCTGGTCAGGCATCCCTAACTCGGGCTCTTATAACCTAGGTTGGGTTAGTGATGGGGTTAAGCTCCTCCTGGGAAGGAGGCATGGGAATGCCAGGGGGTCTCTGCTCTACACTCTGTGGATGGGCAGGACTCTGTGAGTACTGCTGGGTGGTGAAAAACAGAGGCAGCTCCTTAGAATCATCTTTGCTGTAATGTTAAACAAAAAAAAAAAAACCAGCTTTCCTGAGATTGAATTTCTTCCAAAAGTCTGCATTTGTAGCCGTGGGGCAGGAACACCTCCTAACCCACTGGCTATGCTCAGTCCATGGGCTGGGCACAGCAAAACGGGACCCTCACATCAATAAAACTCACCAGGAGGATGGCTGTGAGTGGGCAGGTGGGTTGCTGTCCCAGCAGACAGGTTGTCTGGGGGTCCTGCTCCCAGTGGGGTGACATCCCCATTGCCAGCCAGAGGACCAATGTGCCCCATGACCTTGCTCCCCACTGGCACCGCTCTGTGCCTGGCAGGAAGTGATGCCCACTCCCTGCTCCCAGCCAGCATCGTCACCAGCTCCACACTGTCCACCGGAGCACCAGGATTCCTTATCCCTGTGTCTGAACTTCTTCCCTCCGGATAGCTGCTTTCAATGACTAAAAGGCAAAACAAGAAAAGAATTTAGATCCCATCAGCACTGGCTGTGCAGGCTCGGCTCACTGCAGTAACACCAATGCCAAGCTCTGAGCTCGTTTACTTACACGACAGAAAAAATTTGCATCATCAAAGCAGAGACCTGACATTTATTTTTCGATTTATACCAGTGGAAATTAGATTGGTCTGTGGGATCAAATGCCGAAACCCACCTTTGTGCACAAGATTAATTCAATTCAGCACCCTCATACTTTTGTGTGTGTGTGTGTTAGGAGAAATAAATCTTTAAAGGAGCCAAAAGAAAAGTCTGAAACAAATAACTGATGGAGATAGGCACAGTGTAGAGTCCATGGGAAGAGTATGTAGGTCTCCTGAGCTGATGGGCAGCTGGAGCCCAGCACAGCCCATGTGCCCCATCCTGAGTGTAAGATGGGAGAGGAGAGGGCTCCACAGCTCTTTCCGCAATGAGCACTTGGCCAGTGTTTGTTTCACACCTGACCTCAAATCCCATCACCTGCAGAGAGCTGGTGGGAAGCTGGCTGAGAACTGTAGGGGAGTCAGGAGGGTCGGCATAACCCATCCAGACACCACAAGGGACCAGGGACAGAAGAGATCAGTGTATGGTGGGATTATATTGCCCATCCAGGCACTGAAGCACCCCAAGGTGATGGACATTTTGGCATATCTGACAGTAATTTCTATCAGAATATGAGAAACAAAATGAAGTTTGTGTATCTACATGTCCATTTTCTGTGAGCAAACATGGCCATAGCCCCTGCTCACCCTGCATAGACCTTGTTTCGGTCTGCTCTCTTGCTCCTGATACAAGGCTGCTCCAAATCTCCACCTCTCCCATCATTCATAGTCATTTTCCTTTTTCAATAGAAAATGAATAAAACACATTTATGGAATAAATGTTGGTTCCTAAGCCAGCATGGTAATGCTGGCTTTAGCTTTGCTAGCTCTTCCTCTGCCTCCAGTTGCTCCCCACCATGGTGATGCCTAACGGCAGCAACCTCCTCCCCCCCCCGCACAAGTTTCTTCTGCATTTCTACTATCAGCTCTATCTCATGGACCCAAAAATTACTTCTCACAGGGGCATCAATAGGCATTACATGCTTTAAGGGATCTTCCAAAGTACACAGGTAGCTGTGTGCATCCCTGGAATACAAACATATTCCCCAAATAAGTCCTAAGAAAGGACTGAAGATGTTACTCAATAGCCAACTTCTCATCGCAGTCATTAACACTGACTGCCAGCAGCAGCAGCAGGACTTGGTGCAGTAGCTGTAGCTTCAGCCTCGGGTCTGTCATCCAGCCTGGAGCTGAGCAACTAGTAACAGCTGCTCTGAGTGGTTCCTGTGAGATTTGCTGGAGGAATTGGGGTTTCCAGCCTGTGGTACCACCCAGGGCTGTGTGAGGATTTCCCTGCACATCAGTCATACAAAAACCAGCAGCCACCATCTACTTTACAGCCCCGAGACTTGGCTGGCACTGCAGCCTCAGATGATCTCCAAAGCCCAAAACAAGTCAAAGCAAGTCCAAATCTGAAACAACAAGATCCCAGTTTTGTCCATCTTCCTTATAACCAAAACATAGCCCCTGGGCTAAAGTAGCCCAACACACACTTTTCTTACTGAGTAGGCAGAATGGGAGCCTGGCTAAGAAAGCTGCAGTTTTGGGAGGGGAACTCTTCCCATTTTGCAGTTCAGAGATAGACGAGGCTATGGGACTTGTCCTGCGTGTCATGTGCATGGCATCAACAGGGCCATGGATGATACACAAGCAGCAGCTAGAGGCACCATCTCTGCCCAAAAGCTCTGATGTTGAAGGCTAAGCTTTGCATCTGTTTTTGGCCTCGGAGCATTTTCTATAAAAAAATTGTATCTCAGAGAAACACCGGTGGGACACCTCTCCCTTGTCTTGTATGTCTCCTTTGGAGTTGTTGCACCTACCATGACTAAAGTGGTAATTTTCGAAATGCTGTCCTCTATCCATCTGCAATAGCTCCAGTGGGAACTCACCAAAAAAAAGAGGTGTACGTTGGACAGACCGTATTTCATCCTGGGAGTCTGAGCACCAAGAGGGCCAAGGAGAGAAGAGCTGTAGTGGAGCAGAGCCACTGGGGTACCTTTACTGACAGCCCTAGCACTGGTTGTGATGCCCACCTTGCTGAGCACATCAAGCAGCTGCTGCCACCCAGAGCCCGCTGTGAGCCACCTCCTGTCCCATGAAACAACCTTCTTGTCCTCACGATTTTGACAAAGGGATGCAAAGTGGCAGGGGACATTTGCTATGTTCATCTGCAAGCCAATACCCAGCCTGTAATTGTAGCCCACAAGTCCATTTATAGCAGCCCTGAAAACTGTGAGCGTGCTGGAGGGCAGCACACTGAATTTCTCTCCATTCCCCTCTCACTAAAAGCTTTCAGCTGTGCAGGCCGTACTGACTGCAAAGCCTCAGGGGCCAGCTTTGCTGCACAGAGAGAAGGCAAAGCAGCAGATGCTTAAAGAAACCCTTAGGAGATGAGTATAGACAGAGGCAAATCTGCTTTCTCAGGTTGCCAAGTCATTTGTCAACAAGGGCTCTGCACAGGCAGGCTAAAATATATAGCAGGACACCACAGCAGGCATTCCATTGCCCCTTCTTAAGAAGTAACCCTGCAAATGCCAGCAAACAGCGCCTTCAGCTACGAACCTTGATTGAATGCAACCAGTTCAAAAGTAAAACTGCTGGTTTCTTGCCTGGTGGTTGTTTGCCCTGGAAATCCACCTCAGAGTTTTCTCTATCCTCTTTTGGCTCTGCAGAGCTGCTGGGAATAAGCTGGAGCACAACCCTTCCCCTTACCGTGGGTGCCAGCAAACCTGGCTTTTAGTGCAGCCAGGGAGTGGAGGGGCTGAATAAGAAGGTATTATTTACACAGGCTTTTTAGAGTCATCTGGCATTTTTAACTCTGCCATGCAAGGTATGTCAGGTCCTGGTGCAGGGAGGAAAACTTCGTGCCAGCATGGGCTCAGCTCCCCAGTTCACTGGGTGCAGAGCATGAGCCATGCTGGAAAATCCAACCCACAGCATGTAGTAACGAAACCCCAAAAAATCAGGTTGTTCAACAAAATAGACATGAAATCTCAGCTGATCACACATCCATCAAGCCTGCCAGAAGTGCAAGACAGACACAATCTCTTTTTTGACTTGCCTGCAGACATTAGACTTCAAAGACAACCCTCCTCTGGAGCGGATAGACTAGATCAAACTTCTTCCAAAAAAATCTACACAGGACCATCTGGCCTCCCCTGATGCATTAAAGGTCTAAAGCAGAGCGGCCCTTTAACTCAGGTCCTGATCTGTCACTAACAATTTTGTCACATCCTAAGCTGCCAACTGCTTTCCACAGTTTAACTCCACACGACCACAGCCATTGACAAGTATTTGACTTCCAGCACAAAACCCTCCTGCCACCTACTGCACCGGTGTTTTCCTTCCTAGTTAAAACTAGCAGTGATGCTCACCAGACAGGTCGAGGCTCAGAGTTACTTTTTCTTTGCAAGCATAACAAGTCCACAGCTTGCTGCGAGCTGAGTTATAGCTCAGCCAGGACAAACAGATCAAGTTCCAGCTGATTTCTGGAGGCTTTCGGCTTGCCCCTGGCAGCCCAGTTGGATATCTACCTTGTGAGACTCCTGAAAATTGCCTTTTGGACCAACAATTTTCTGACTCCGTTCCTGATGCAGCACGGGCACTGCCCTGTTCCAGAGGTGGCTGCTACCAGGGCAGCATCGTGGTGATGCTCAAGACTCAACCATGGGTCAGTACAACACCAAAATTTTTCTGCCATGACTGTGATCTCACAGAGATATTTTAGGGCAGGGAGAGAGGAGGGATGTATCCTGCTAACACCCTGGGAGCAGCATCCCCACAAACAGCACCTGGCAGGAGCATTGCAGCCAGCCAAGGCACACCACAAGCTATCCCAGCCCCACTTCTTTCCTGCAGACTGGATTTTTTCTCCTCGAAGGGCAGAAAAATGCTTTCTTGCCTGGGGAACACAAATTTAATCCGAGTTTGCACACAAGGAAAGCCAAGAGCAGTAGATCGGCTGTCCAGAGTGGCCCTTCACTCCGGAGCAGTCCCTCCTGGGGAGGGCAGCGATTCCCTGGGGAGCATTCCCGGTACGGCCGCCCATGCAGCGGCTGTTTTGCCAGGGCAATGGGCCACCGCGGGAGCATCCCATGCAGAGCCGTGCGCGCGTGAAGCTAAAGCAGGCTCCTCCCGAGGACAGGCAGCTATAATTGCAAAGCCCACATCTGTTAACGTTGCATAATCTTAACATCATCCGAGGTTCGCAGAGGGGAAAAAAAAAAACTAATCTCAACTTGGAAAACTCCTTGCGGGCTGTAGGAAAAGGTTAGGAAGAAAGGCAGGCTACGAGGGAGAAGGAGTGGGGAGCAGAGCCGGGGCTCTGGCCCCGCAGCGGGTGGCAGGGGTGGCTGCGGTCCCTGCCGGGGCCGGGCTCTGTGCTCTGTTTTGAACGGCTGCTGCGGATGTCGGGATCATGGGTGGAGGCCGGTTAGGAGCCAAGTGAGTTTGTGCGAACAAAAGCTAAAGCCCTAAATCTGGACCGTCCAGGGCTCTTTGGGATTTTCAATTTCCTTCCTTGTTCTTGCTCTGAAAGAAGCAGTTCGAGTTGGGGGGAGAACGGGGGGGGTGTGGGGGGTGTGAAATGGAGCTTAAAAAAAAAAATTCATACTTGAGATGGGTCAGTTGAGCGTAAACACACTGATAATATTGCTCAGGGAAGGTCCCTCGTGTGCACTAAGCACGGGAAAAATGCAAGAGGTTTTTAACCACATGTGGTCAGCCCTATTTTGGTGGGGTTTTTTTATATCAAGAAAAGGAATTATTCCAGCTGGATTAAGAAAGATGGCAAGACAGGGTGTATGGAGAAGAAGAAGCCTTTGCAGAGCCACTCACCCTGTTGTGGGGATTGGTTTGGATGCAGTAA